AAAAAAAAAAAAGCCAAAGCCAGGAGTCCAGATCAGCAGTAGAGCATTTACTGGGCATGCAGAAGGCCCTGGGATCAATCTCTGTTCCTACCAGGAAAAAACTTACTAACAATGAGTCAATGTGAATGCTGTACAAATATTTTAATAAAACAGCTATATTCTGTACAAGTGAAACTGAATGTGAGGGTTAGGTGGTGAGGAAGGGATCTGACACAGACTAGAAATGGGCTTCAGAGCTTGTTGCTCCTTTTAGGTATGCACTGCTTATTGTAGACAGCGCCACCGCCCTGTACAGAACAGACTACTCTGGGCGGGGAGAGCTTTCAGCCAGGCAGATGCACTTGGCCAGGTTTCTGCGGATGCTTCTGCGCCTTGCTGATGAGGTACGCTGCGGGGAAGGGCGGGGGTTACTTTGGCCACAAATTCCAGCAGCGTTCCTTGCTGAGGCCAGGCGTTAGTGCCTCAGAGCATCTACTACTTTAGAAAAGGGGAATCATGCTTTATGGAGAGGGTGGTTGCCTGGGAAAGTCTCTGCCCACAAGACCGGTGTGCTTTCCCCGTCAGTTTGGTGTGGCCGTGGTGATCACCAACCAGGTGGTAGCCCAGGTGGATGGAGCGGCCATGTTTGCTGCAGACCCTAAAAAACCTATTGGAGGAAATATCATCGCCCATGCTTCAACAACCAGGTGAGGAGATGGCATAGCGTGCTGTGCTTGGAGTGAGTGTCATATTAACTGTGATGCAGAAATGAGAATAAAACTTCTCCAGTTAAGCTCTATAAAGCAGCTGTTGGATAATTAGGAATTCTAGCAAAATCTAATTGTCCTGCTCCACTTGGTAGAAGTGTTTGCTTTTAGTTCTTAAAGGGATTAAACACCTTTCCTTGTGGAAGATGAGTATGAAAAGTTGATTCGCTTCTCCTTGACTATAAAAAATGTTCATTTCCATATGAGCAGTCCGGTGAGAAGAGCAGGGCAGAAATGGACTTCTCCAGGTTGGAAGTGCATTAAATACACTAAGCTCCCTAAAGTTCTCCTGGGAAATACATAAACTGATAAATGTGCTTGCCGATTTTTAAGAGTCAGCTAGCAGTCAGAAATAGAATGAATAACTTGATGTTGGTCTGTGTCTTTGGAACAGACTGTACCTGAGGAAAGGAAGAGGGGAAACCAGAATCTGCAAGATCTATGACTCTCCCTGTCTTCCTGAAGCTGAAGCTATGTTTGCCATCAATGCGGATGGAGTGGGAGATGCCAAAGACTGAGTTGGATTTTTTCCTTGTGGTAAACTTGTAATTGCTGCAGCCTGATGGAGAGGACAGCTCCCTGGAGTTCCTTACAGGCCTCTTCCTGTTGTGAATGCAGTACAGGGCTTCTGGGACAATAGCTATTGTAGCAGCTTTTCTGATGGTGTAAACAGGAACCCAGGGTAGTACTCACAAACTGATCTGTTTATTCCTTCTGGCATGTGTGGATCTCTGGAATCTGTGCTCTGGGACAACCTCAGTTCTGATGGTTGTCTGTTAGTCTTTGATCTCTGAGAGAACTAAAGCTGCTGGAGAGATCACTTCTGAATAATGATAAACTAAAACACCTGATATCTGTGCCCAGGGGAATGGGGAATAGGCCTCTTCACAGATTTCTTTCTCTCAGTAAAACTGCTGTCCATCAGAAGCAAGTTTTAAAGTTGTATACCTGAACTCTCCTATGAAAACTTTTTTGTTAAATCTTGCACAAAGCCTACAGGGCCTTTGTTCCTCCCTCATCTGCTCACTTGGCCATTGTAACTCTGGAATCTGAAGCATTGCAGAGGCTGAGTAAGCAGATTTGGTGAGGCTGCTAATAAAGTAGTTATTTGTAGCCAATATTCTCTCTGTAGGAGTCATTCTAGCATAAGCTAAACACTTCAAGGTAGAGTTACCATAATATCTTTGTCACTGGGTGGTGGTGATCAGTTTTCTATTGCTTTGAGACTTAGACTGGTCAGGTATTGTGGCTCATTCCTGTAATTCCAGCACTCCAGAGGCTGAGGCAGGAGGATCGCTGAGTTTGAGGCCAGAATGGACTGCATGGTGAGTTCAAGGCCAGCCTCTACTACGTAGTGGAACCATCTCCCCACTCCTTCCAAACAAAAAGTTTGAAAACTGAAAAGACCAACCTTCAGAGGTTGAGCTTGAATCCTTCATTGGAATGGAAAGTATTACATGACCAATCATAGATTTCCTGTGGCCTTTGATTTTTTGACATGGGATCTGTATTGCCTATTCTGGTCTTGAACTCCTAGATTCAGGAGATCCTCCTCTTAGTCTCCAATTGTTGGGATCATAGGCACATGCCATTGCCCCCAGATGTGGCCTTTGTTTTTATTGTATAAATCTTACCCTATTTCAGAAGTTTGAATACTTCTCTTCCTCCCCTTCATACTACTTGGGATGGATTTTAACCAGCTCTTTTAGGTTTCAAAGGCTGTTTCAGCTAGTGGTGGGAAGGTCTGCTGCTGCACATGTTGATTGCCATCCCCGTATGTGGGGAGACACAGATCAGTTTAATCCAGCTTTGTTTTAAAAGCAGTTCTCTTCCCTGGCTTGGGTGCGCACCTCAGTCCCAGCTACCTGCAGAGGCTGAGGCATCTTCACTAGCTAGGATTTCTAACCTAGACCTCGCCCAAGGTGTTGAGCAACCATCCAGAAATTATCTAGGCTTTGGGTACCAAAAATTATTTTACTCCAAGAATTGAATATATCTCAGGTCTTTTCATTTGCACAAAATAAACTTGGGTTGCTATAATAAAGCCACATGACAGATTCTGGAGTGAAGATTGGTTCTCATGTAAGGGCATCTCAGTCTTACAGTCCTGTAAGATACTAAAGTGACTGACCTAGATACTTACCTTACTCTTTCTGTAAGTGAATTTAGGCCTTGCACTATTAGTGCTAAAAATGAACTAAGAGGGACAGAGGCACTTTAGTTGCAAAAGGCCTTCTTTAGGCTAAAATTAACCTCTCTGCCTAAATTTTACATTCAACTAAATTTTCCACTAATAAGAGCATTAACCAAAGAGCTTATTTTATTCTTCAACGAAGTATTTTTTCTACTGTCTTCAGTTTCCTATGTAGGAAGAAACAATCACAGCTGTCAACAGGTGATAACTAAAACAGGATAACATTTTTGATCAAATTCATTTTATTTCAATCTTGTACCAAAATATATTCCAGGTAACTCTTCAGGCCATTATTTCACAGTATCAGACTATGACACTGCCACTCATTTCAAAAGCTGGCAGATTTCTGAGTCAGGTGGCCCAGCCCCTCCCTCCCTCAGTCCAGGAGTACAGGTTGAATCCACATGAGCAGTGATAAGGGCCCCTGGACCCCTCCTGTGTCCTGGTCAGCAGGGTGTGATCTTAGGACTGGACGCGTGTTGAATATGAATCCATGAAAAAGACGAGAATGACAGGTTCTGTGCTTTGTTCCAGTGGCTCTTTGAAACTCCACCTCACCAGCCCATACGTGATCCTAAGGCAAGTGCTGACTAAGTATCGACTTTCCAGTTTCCTTAAGGGGAAGAAGAAGAACAGAAGGCCCAGCTACAGATATGTCCCCAGTTTAGGTGACAGATTAATCAGCTGACGGGAAACAGACAAGATGCCGGGGAATGGTAGTGGGTGCCGGGGTGCTTCTTGCTTGGAATCCTGATCAAAGCAGGGTCTAAGGAATTGCAGAGCAGCAGCCCGCAAGTAGCCCTCAAGTCATGAAGGCCACTGAAATGTGATTATTCCCCTAAAACTACTTCCAGTTCTTCCAGGTCCTTCTGAAGAGCTGAATCCTGGGAAGAAAAAGAAAAAGCCCGTACTCAAAACCTGAGCTTACCTTTTTCCAAACCACAGCTCCTTTGTTTCCTCCTTGAGGTCTCCTATCTGCACTCTTTCTCACTTTCCCAGCAGCCTGGAGCTTATGAACTGTCTCCTCCCGGATGGAAGGCATGCAGAGACCCTACTTGAAGGGAAGTGAGGCCTTGGAGTTTAAAATGTGCTTTGTTGGAAAGGTTACGTGGTACTCGGTGGGATGGCCCTGTACTTTAAAAGTTCTTAAAAAGAATTACCTCATTGTTGACATCTGGCAGCTCCAGGGCCAGTTTCATCCACCGTCTGGCTTCAGAGTTTTTTCCTAATTCTCTGTAGCACTGGGAAGAGAGAGTGAAAGCCTGGGAAAAACAGCACTAGGGGACTAGTAGGGCACTGAGTGTGTGTGCTTTGAGTTTCCAGAAGGTGAGGCATGGACGCGGCAGTGGTGCAGCATTTGCCTGGCACATCCAAGGCAGTGGGTTTTTCCCCCACCACCACTGAGAACAAAGGATAGCGCCAGAAAAGGGATGTCTGTCAGTGCTGGGCTGCCTGAGTGAGACACGCACGCACACTCCTCAAACAACATCTGTGTTGAAATTGGTGAGTTTACCTTGGAAATGTACACCCTTCCAGCTTTGGAGAACCCTGGGTGCAGTTCTTCAGCCTGGAGAAGGGAGGAAGGCATTTCATTCAAAGCGCCCAAATTCAAGTCAGGCTGACCCTTAAGAATGATTTCCAGTCCCCAACCAGATGGATTCACTGAGTTCAGGAATCTATATTTGTGTAAATTCTCCCAGTTGATTTTCCCATAGAATACAAAATTCCCTCATATCAGAATCCTCCTTGTAGGGGTTCTAGTAATGAGAAACAAGGTTACCTTAGCGTCTGCTGTTGCCTCCCCTCCTCCCCTTCCCTGATACCTTTAGGAAGCTCTGGAGAGCATCCTGCACAGTGGCACTGGGAGGGCTTTCAAACAAGGCTGCGGCCGTTTTCTTTTCTAGCCAGCTCAAGTGAGAGACCTGCCACCAAAAGATTGGGATGTAAAAAGGTTTTAAAAGGAGTATCTTGCAGCATACTGATGAGTATTCTTAATTAAAAACAGTCAAACACTAATAAGACAAACATTCAGAGGAAAGAGGACCTGAGCCAGACCAGGCTAAAGAAGCTGATGACCCTGGTCAGTGTCATTGCACACTCAGGACCACTGTGTCAGACCCTGGAACACGGCTCACCTGATAGCACCACCTGCCAAGAAGAAAGTGAGCCCTAGGGTTTTCTGGCTGGAGAGCAATGGCTTTGTCCACGTGCTCCTGAGGGGAAGACAGAAGCCAAATCAGACCAGAGTTGCTCAGGGAAGAGTGGAAAGGCATGGAGGCTGTGGGAATGCCCTTCGAAGGGAGCAGGAAGAGCAGGGGATCTGGACTAGACTAGCGCAAGGGAGGAGGAGAAGCTGGTTCTCACCTTGAAGCTAAAGCCACTCTGGATACGCTTCTGGATGCCCTCATACTCAGCCAGCTGACCACAAAGCACTGCATACCTAAAGGGGAAGCAGCAGCAAGCTCAGGGACAAGAACTGGGTACTGTGACTGAGGAGCAGGTGCCTCAGCCGCAGTCCAGGTAGTTCCCACTTCCACCCTCAGTGAGAGCTGAAAGTGTATTTTCATATAATTCCTCAAAGATGTGCAGTCTCAGTTCCTAGTTAGCAAACATTTTCCAAAGTATTTTAGGTATAAAAACCTGCTCCCCCCACATACAGTAAAACGCCATTACATTTTAAAATATTTAGTGGAGGTTTCAGTTAATCTCCAAATTTCCCTTTCTTGTTAGAGTGCAGCCACATGTGCTATAAAAATTTGAAAACTGGGCTGGAGGCATAGCATGGTGGAGAGCTTACCTGGCATGAGTGCAGCCTTAGGTTCAGTGCCCAGTGGGGCCTGCATCAAACTGAAAGTGACCTCAGGACACTGTCTTACATGTAGACACTGTAAGAGGGTCTCCTTAGCTTTGAAACCACACAGGTGTATCACTGGGACTTGGGAAATCATCTTCAGCATGGCCAGGTTGAGATGGAACTTCTTGTGTTAACTTGAGAACCAACAGAAGAGGAAGGACCTATTTTAGCCCTTTCCTCCAGGGGAATCTGAGCCAGCGTGTTCTGTATTATCTTCCATAAGGTCTTTTGAGGGCCGGGCTATAGCTCAGAGATACAGCACATTGCCTAATACATTCAAGCTGGGTTCAAATGCCAGCAACTACCAAAATTTAAAAAAAAAAATACCCAAACCCCCACTAAACCTTAAAAATCAAGCTAGGCGTGGTGGTGCACACCTGTAATCCCAGCACTCAGGAGGCTGAGACAGGAGGATCACTGAGTCTGAGACCAGCCTGGGCTACATAGTGAGTTCCAGGTCTGTCTCAACTACATAGTGAGCCCTGTCTCAAAAAAACAAAAAACTTAAAAATCACTAAAAGCCTTACTGCCTCATCCTGTGTCAGCACTGTTCCTAGCAAAAGCTGACATTAACTAATAAATGTCTAGCCAGGCAAACCCATGTTGCCTTTTCATGTATTTGCTAAATATCTGTGGTCAGCTACCAGCACTTCCAGAGGCCTGTTTCCACATTTAATCCAGATAGGTTCCTCAAGAAGACCTAAGAAAGTCTGGGCCAGATTTCATCCTTAGGACCCAGGGAAGCAGTGATACCCTAGGAAGTTACCTGGCCTCTGAAGATACCTTTCAACAAAAGGTAGAGAAACAGCCTGAGGCAGACCGAGATGAGAGGAACATTTTCACTGAAACTGATGCTGGAATTAGGCCTTGGGATGTGAGTTGGTCCTAACCCGTGCTGAACTAGCAGAACTCTATCACAGATCATAAGAAGACCAGTGTCACGGTTTGAACTTCTTGCAGCAGCTGGGGGTGGAAACTAGGGCCTCACAAGGCAAGTGCTCCACCACGGAGCTACACCTGCAGCCCAGTAAGCTGATAAACTGAAAATGAGCTCACATCTAGTTTTTCTCATGCAAACCAAGCAAAGAAGCCAAGGCCCACACCAGCCAGGGATAGCAGCTTGGGGAAGGAAAAGCTCGTGCAGGATGAGGAGCTATGAGTTGTCCAGGTCTCCCCTGGGAGCCAAGAACCCTCAAGTTTATGGCTAGAATGACTTTTGACTTTTTTTTTTTTTTTTTTGGTACTGGGGATCAAACTCAGGCCCTTGCACTTTCGAGGCAGGCGGCAGCAGGCGGCAGAACCTCTGAGCCAAATCCCCAGCCCTAGAATGACTTTTTTTGGAGAGAAGATTTTGCTATGTAGCCCAGACTAGCCTTGAATTCCAAATGCTAGAATTACAGGTATGCACTACCACACCCAGCAAGTTAGGACTGTTCTTAACAAAATACTTCTCCCAACTTTTACCCACCTCCTTACCCCCAAAACATCATCAAATACCTTGGGTTCCTAGACAAGGGAGGGTAATGCATACAAACTAGAGCTCCCCCTCCTGGCTCCTCTGGCAAATGTCTCTGACTAAGCGAAAAGAAAGACCTCGGCTTTGGCCCTTCCTTACTGACTCCTCCCAGAGCCCTGTGGAGTGTCATTACCACCAGTGACAGTCAGCACTCTCATCCCCCTTCTCCAGAGCAGCTTCTGCTTCTTCCTTTCCTGAAAGACAAAGGTGAATGCAGAATTAACATGCACTTCCACACATGTTCACACCGAAAGGGCTCCAGAAAATGGTGACTAGCTCTCATCAACTCCCACCCAACTTGGACTTGTTTGGAAATGGTTTGTTTTAGTTTTGTACCAGGGATTGAACTCGGGACCTTACACTCCTTGCACTTGTGAGGCAGGTGGCGGAACCACTGAGCTAAATCCCTGGCCGTTTGGAAGTAGTTTGAATTTGCACAGAGTGGAAGGCAGTACACAACTTCTCGGGGATTACTCCTGCCTCACTTCGCTTCATCCATTTCTCGTCCAGACTGCCTTTTTACACCCCACCCCCTGGAACTGAAAGAAATATAAACTGGTATCACAAATGTTTAAGAGACCCAACAGCAACCAAATTGTAGGAATCACTAGAGTTGCATAGAACTTCAGCTGTATTTTACTGGGGAAGGGTTCAACCTTTGGTAAAATTCCTAAAGAAGACCCATGAAGGTTTACTGCAGCTCTAGGCCACAACTCCCCACAACTGTGTTGGGAAGCAGACCCAGAGACTTGTATATGCGGCCAGCACTACACCTGAGCGCACTTCCCGCTCTGACGAGAGCCGCACGGGCTAACGTCTGGAGGGGGATTTTGCTGGGTCTCACCAAGTTTCCTAGGCACTGACTTACAAGGAAATGGGAACACTTGTGAACTCCTGACAACGATTGCCTAGAGCAGGGGTGGCAAACCTATAGCACACATGTTATTTTTAAGACAAAAAATGTATGAGGTGTTTATTCTAAACTCAAACCTCAGTATTCAGGGGCCAGGGATTTAGCTCAGTGGTGCAGCCACCTGCCTCGCAAGTTCAAGGACCAGAGTTTGATCCCCTGTACCAAAAAACAAAAAACCTCAATATGCAGGCTTAATTTCAGAGTTGGCACCTTGCAGTAAATAAGTGGGTCTTGGGTTGCAGTTTGGGCACTTGGTCCCTCTAAAAGGCTCGCCATCACCACGCTAGAGTATCAGGGCGGCTACCGCCTATATACCTCCAGATGGGGACTGTCGTTATTTGTGCCGGCGGGGGTGGGGGCTGGAAAGGAATGTGGAGAAAATGGGACAGCTGTAAATAGGCTGAGGTTGTAAGGGGCAGGCTGGCTAATAAGGGACACTGCCTTTTAGGGTGTTTCTCTTTGCCCACTTCAAAGCAGTTTTGTGGTGGTCATGGTATTGGGATTGCCCAAATCCAGCCTTCTCACTGAGCTACATCCTGTGCCCTTTTAGAATTTTTTTCTTTGACTTTGAGATGAGTTCTCACCAACTCACTAAACTACCCAAGCTGGACTTGGACCTGCAGTCCTCTTGCCTCAGGCTCCCAGTGTTGGAATCAGGGATGTCCCACCACGCCCTGCTTTGTTTATTTTTTGAGGCAAGGTTTAGCTAGGCAACACAGGCTAAGCTTGAACTCTTGAACCTCCTGCCTTTGCCTCCCAATTACAGTGGTACTTGGGTTCACAAACTTACCTTGTTCTATGGTTTTGGAAAAGATAGCCATGTTAGTGTTTGTGTGGGAAAGATGGCTGTGGTCATGTTTGTCACCTGATGCAGAGTTTGCAAGCACAAACAATTTAGCCAAATGTTTGTTTTTTTGTTTTGTTTTTCTGAGACAGGATCTCATTGTATAGTTGACACTGACCTGGAACTCACTGTGTAGCCCAGGCTGGTCTCAGCAATCCTCCTGCCTCAGCCTCCCAAGTGCTGGGATTACAGGCGTGCACCACCACGACTGGCCTAGCCAAATGTTTCTGTTTATGAACCAAAACATTTGCAAACAAAAATGTTCTTGAACCCAGATATCACTGTCCTGGGATCACAGGTATAAATTATCACACAAATATAAGTACATTCTCACTAAGAACATAACAGCAAGAATTAGCCATTTCCTGCTGGGCTAGACAGAATGGTGTGGATCAGAAATTACCTGAGATCCACAGAATCCTTGTCTCCTGGTGGTCCAGCTTCTAAAGGTAGAATGAAATTAACTTATAACCCAATAAAAATTTTGTTTCTGCAGTCCTGGGGATTGACCCAGGAAGCACTGAACTTCTACAACATCCCCCACACACACGGTTTTGGGGGTTTTTTTTGTTTGTTTTTTTGAGACAGGGTCTCACTGTGTAGTGGAGACTGACCTGGAACTCACTATGTAGCCCAGCCTGGTCTTGAACTCACAGTGACCCTCCTGCCTCAGCCTCCTGAGTGCTGGGATTACAGGTGTGCGCCACCACGCCTGGCATAACCCTTCTTATTCTGTCCCCTTTTTTTGGTACCAGAGATCGAACTCAGGACCTTGTGAGACAGGTGGCTGCACCAGGAAGCTAAATCCCCGGCCCTTATTCTGTCCTTCTTGAGATAAGAGCTCACTAAGTTGCCTAGACTGGCCTCAAATATTCAGTCCTCCTGCCTCAGCCTCCCAGGTAGCTGGGGTTACAGGTGTGCAACACCACTGAGCAAGGATGATTCTTAAAGGCTATAATCTCAGATAAGACCTTCAAAGACTCCACAGTCATCTGACCTCCAACAGAATGGTCCAAAGGTGCTAGGCTCAAAAGCCTGACCAAACAAGGGCTAGCTGTGGACTCTGCCTTCAGGGTTCATGCTGCCTATCAGCACTAAGAAGCCTAAAGCAGGAAGGTCTTCAGTGTGCAAGGCCAGCCTGGACAATCTAGTGAGACCTTGTCTCAAAATAAGAAAGGTCTGGGAATGTAGCTCAGTGAGTGGTAGGTAGAATACTTGCCAAACATGTGTGAGCCCCTAGGTTTAATCCCTAGCACCACAAAAAATAAAATTTGCCCTTTTGGCTCTTTGTGTAGTACAACAGCTGACAAGTACCTGACAACCAGGTGTAGTGGCACACACTCGGAGGTTAAGGAGGGAGGATAGCCACATGTCCAAGGCTAGCCTTGACTTTTTATTGAGATTCTATCTCAAAACTAAACAAAAAGTCAGCTACATGGTGGCACAGGCCTATAATCCCAGTACTTTGGGATTGCAAATTAAAGTCCTGCCTGGGTAACTTTACAAAACACTGTCTCAATAAAAGTACTGAAAATGTAGCCAGTGCAAGTTTTAGGTTCAATTTTTAAAAAATACTTTTAAAGTACCATATAAAAGATAGCAAAAGGAACTAAAGTGACTGATCCATTTTCTAAGAAATACTGGTAAGATGCAGAATCACATGCTATGTTCAGTATATGAAATAAGGATTATAAAGACTCAAGGAACCAAAATTCCACTTAATGGCCTTAACAGACTGCTTTATAGGACACTCTGCTGATCTCCAAAATGGTGAAGTTGGCTTCAGAAAATTTTATCTAATTACTGAGAATATTCAGGACAAAAACTATCTCAAGTTCCATGTCATGGGTCTACCTGTGACAAAATGCACCACGGCCAAAGAGGCAGATCATAATTGAAGCTTAGGATGATAGCGAGACTACTGATGATTCTTTGCTTTGTCTGTTCTTTGTTGGTTTTAATAAAAAGGCAACTCTTAAATACCAAAGGCCTCTTGACACTTGAGGTTTTGGTTTTTTTCGGGGGTGGGGGGGATGCCAGGGTTCAAACTCAGGACCTTGCACTTGTGAGACAAGCATGGTGCCCCTGAGCTACATCCCCAGCCCAAGGTTTTTTGTTTTGATTGAAACAATGTCTCACTGTATAGCTGAGGTTGGTCTTGAACTCATATATACCCCAGGCTGGCCTTGAACTCACAATCCTCCTGCTTCAGCCTCCCCAGTGCTGGGATCACAGGTGTATGCTGCCACAATCCAGCTCCATAACCCTAGACACGCAGCAAATAACTCGAAAGAAATGGTTGATAAATTGACTCCAGCCAGCACTGGAAAATCTGTCTTCATAATATCTTTTCTAGAAATGTGAAAATGCTGGAGAAACAAGTCTGAATTGGGAAAGGTAGTTCTGGAAAAGCTACGGGGGATGAAAAGGTGAACTAAGCTGGTAAATATGAGATACTAGTCCAAGACTATGGAGTAGGTGGGGGGCAGTAATTAAACCCTTTTGTTAAAACTACCAGGGATTTTCTGAAGGTTAGTGTCAATAAGCACTCAACTCAGTGTCTCTCCATCAACAGAATTCTGTCAGTGTTAAGGGCAGTTAACCTTGAGATTCTGTCAGGTTCGTATTTTCAAAGACTCAGTAACATTTGTAAGGCTGAGGAAGGAGAGAAGTCCATTGGAGATAGTTACATTTAGATTATCAACTGGACCACACCCGGCAGTCCATGGATGGTCACTGACACAGGGCTGTGGTGAACAGGACATAGCAGTCTCTTAAGAGTCCCAGGACTCTGACCTCAGGCCCCATGAGGCAAAGCCCTGAGCCTGGGACGGTTAGATGCAGTCCCCGGCCCGGGCAGACAATCAGCCCACAGACTTGCTGAGTGGATGTGAGGCCTAATGTTAGCAGTGTCTTCTACAGGTGCTGCCCGTACACCCCGCTGACTGTTCTCAGAATGCCTGTCCCAGGGGCTCCATAACTGAGGAAGCTTTGTGGTTGCAGAGTGAAAACAAAGAATCATGCTAACACGACTCAGCGACTCCTTAAATAATCATGTACCTGGGTCACTCAGTCACCAGGATGTGAGGAGTAGCAGACTCTGCTGTATGGAGAGGTGGAAGCAGGGGTTCCCCGGGCCTCATGCATTTGGGACAGCTGCAGCTGTTCTTGGTGCCCTACCCGCCAGGAGCCTGGCAGCACTTACCATTTAACGCATATGACTTCTTCTCATTTATCTCCTCCGTGAGCTCGCACATGTCACTGTAGGCCCGGGCCAGGCGCCAAAGAAAGTCCTGCCGGCTTCCATACTGCAGACAGACATTCAAAGGAATGAGGGCCCTCTTCCTAAGCTGCAGAGAACGGAGCCCTGGCTTCCCCACAGCACAGGTCTGCACTTCCCAGCCGCCAGCCTGCAGGCAGCCTCCCCACATGCAACTGACTGATAACACAACCCCCAGCTGGTAGTTTGCACAATCAAAGGGTGAGGGCATTTTGGCCAAAAACTGCCAGGAGGGAAGTTCATTTCCAAGAAGATAAAACTGAGGCACCACTTTGCTGGCACATAGAGGAGAAAAAGAAATTACCCAAGAAAAGAATTCTAATGGGGGCCCGGGGATGTAGCTCAGTGGTTCCACGCCTGCCTTAAAAGTGCAAGGGCCTGAGTTTGATCCGCAGTACCAAAAAAAAAAAAAAAAAAAAAAAAAAATCTATTGGGGACATGGAAGTGGCCAGGATTTATACCTAACATAAATTCTGTCAGCCTAAAATGCAAACTGACTGGTTATGCATTTGTCATACGTGACACTACACTTGATCTTAGCCAAAAGGCCAAGTGATACGTCACGTGTGACAGAAGCTTCAAGTAGGGACAGGTTCTGCCTGAGGGGAAAGCACCTTTCCAGCGACCTCTCCTCACCCGCTGATGAGCACAGTGGAAGAGTGCGCTGCTCCTCCTCAGTGACAGGCAAGGCACTGTCCCCAGGGTCCACGCGGGACCCACAGAAGAGGTGCAACAGAGGAGATATACAGGACCGGCGGCAGTGCCCCCTGCCCTTCCCTCTTGCTTTCCAATCAGTAACCACTCGGGCCTTCCTTCATCTCAGAGGCTAGGAGATGCAGGAGGGAAGTGGGGCCTCACCGCCAGCTTGTTGTTGAGCAGCAACTGGAAGCCCTCCCGCTTGTTCTGCTCACTGCCCTCGTGTAGTTCATCAGCCTGGTGCAGGAGGGGCAGCATGCCCTCAGGGGCCGAGGAGCTGCCGTCCTCCAGGGCACCAGTCACTGGGTCCGAGGCTGCCTCCATCTCCAGATCCAGAGAGTCCCTCCTCCCCATCTTCACAGTCTCACAGCTCACTTCGTCTTCCCCATCCTCGCTGTCCTTGTCAGAGTCCCGCTCGTAGTCAGACTCAGCATTGGCTGTTGTGTAACTGGCAGAGAAAGGAAGTGACAGGATCAAGAAAGGGGATTATTCATCTTGAAGCCTCTAGATCAACCCTCCAGCCTCAAAGTGTACATGGTACTGCTGTGCAATGCCTCAAATAATCATTCTCCAAGCCAGGTGTGGTGGCGCACACCTGTAATCCCAGCACTCGGGAGGCTGAGGCAGGAGGATCACTGTGAGTTCGAGACCAGCCTGGGCTACATAGTGAGTTCCACATCAGTCTCAACTACACAGTGAGACCCTGTGTCGAAAAACCGAAAAACAAAACAAACAAAAATCATTCTCCAGCCTTGCAGGTAGGATCCAGTAAAAGCTTCTCATGAGCACTATGGTCTGGGGAAAGTGAATGGGGAGGTGAAGACTGTATAGCTGCGGGCTCTGTGCTATCAGGGCCAAAATGAAAACCCTTGCTCAACCACTACTAAATCTTGCAGAAAAGAAATAGGAAAAAACCTAGAAAAGTATCTAACAAAATGCTGTCAATAGGTAGGTGTGGTAGCACATGCCTGTAATCCTAACATTCTTGGAGGCTGAGGCACGAGGATCAAATTCAAACCTAGCCTAAGTGATTTAGGGTATGACCATATCTTTAAAAAAAATTTTTTTTTAAAGGACTGGGAAGATAGCTCCATACAAAGGCCCTGCCTAGGTCAATCCCTAGTACTGCAGGGGAAAAAAATGTCACCAGTAGACCTGCTAGATAGAAGGTAGTTTTTCTTCTATTTTTTAATATAAGGTTGCTTCAGCCAGCTTGATGGCACACACCTATAATCCCAACACTCAGGAGGCTGAGGCAGGATCACCAAGAGTTTGCGGCCAGCCTCGGCTGCACAGCCCCAAAAAACAACAGATTGTCTCAAAAAAAAAGACTGCTTCAGTGAGCATATACTCTTTTTATAACTTAGAAAGAAATGTTTAGGTCACAAAACATTTGGGCTGCAGATGTAGCTCAGTGGTAGACGGACTGCCTACAATGTTCTTGAGACCCTGAGTTCCATCCTAACACCAAAAACAGTAACCTTGAACGATACAGATGGGGCTGACCTGAGTTACAGTGGTCACCAGGCCAAGGGTTTGTTAATCATCTGTGCTTTGTCAGCCAGATGCCACCTGCAACTTGTCAAACTACCACGGGTACTGCCCTGTGACCACATTCTCCCTCATACACCAGAGAGCCTGTGGGAATGTGGGGTTCAGGGAAGCAGGGATACTTCCAAACTGGAAGAGGAGGGAAACCTTGCCAGGAAAGGCGTGTCAGGGCTGAGGTGCCCCTTGAGGAGGGACGCTGATAGGGAAATCTTTAATAGTGACAATTTAGGAAATGTCACAAGGTAAAAGAACTTCTGACCCTCATTCTGCTTAGTTCAGAATTAACCACAAAAGTTTGTAAGTGAAAAGAACCACTGTTAGTTTTGTTATCAAACAAGCTCCCTTCCCCCTGGCTAGAGTAGGTAATTGAATAAATCTTAAAGGTGACTTCCCTGACAAAGACCTGCATCCGGGTTGAAATTCAACTGCCTTGCTATCATGTTTTGGGTATCTGTGAAAATGCAGTGTAACCAACTGAGTAAGATCAAAGCTGTAAAACCCTATAAAAGAAGGAGCTGTAACCCAATGGGGCAGTCGTTCAGGGCACCGCCATTAGGTGTCATCGATCCCCATGGATGGAGTAAACTTTTCTATTTTCCTTCCATTCTGCTGCCTCTCTATGTGTCACTTGCTGGGGCAAGGTCCTCCTGGATCTCAGGCTCCACCAGCAGCTGATGGGGCACTTCCCCTAACTGCTAATTAGAGTACACAAGAACCAGGCAGGAGAGAAGGCAGGCCTTCCAGAGACCAGAATCAGACCCAGAGAGCCCCCAGACTGAAGACAAAGCACAAGAAAGACCTGAGGGTCTTTCTGGGGAAGAAACTTTATCTTCCTGAACAGAAAAAATAGCCCCCTATGTCTGATGCAAAACAGCTGAAAGAGATGAGGGGACAAAATCCACACAAAAGGGCCTACAGTCAGGATAAAGTTCTCAGCCAGGTACAGTGGCACCTCCTGTAACCTCTGGCACTGGGAAGGCCAAGACTGGATGATCACTGATAGTTCAAGACCTGATGGAAAAGGGCTTCTTCCTTGCTAGAAGGCCAGAGAGAACCAAGGGGGCAGGTTCCAGAAGGTACCAAGTGATTGGCAGGCCTGGTACCCCTGTCCAAGCATGCTGGCTGGCGGCTTCTTCACAGGGGAGCTTCCAGTGTCTCTAAAAAGGGGCCTAGGAACACGGACTACAGGAACTTATGTTACTTCAAAATCATACAGCCTCACCTTGCTTTGAGAGACATTATCCTAGTATCTTTCCCTTCTAGCAATCTGCAAGAAAAACTTTGGAAATTTAAGGAAGAAGGAAAAATGACATCAGATTTCACAACCAAACCTGGGTTGCGATGGTTGAGACCACACAGAATAGCCGACAGGGGCCAGGGATTTAGCTCAGTGGTTCTGCCACCTGCCTCACAAGTGCAAGGTCCCAAGTTCAATCCCCGGTATCAAAAAAAAAAAAAATTTTTTTTTTTCGCAGAATAGCCGACAAAAAGCCATGTCCCAGCAAAAAGGCTTGAACAGTAACCTGCCCAGGATGAGTGGACCGAAGCAAATGGGCCATGGTACCTGCAGTGGGGTGCTCCAGGCTCACCATCTCTCCTGTGAGGCTGAGGGCAGCCTGCTTCAGTCAGGAGCCTCAAAGGGAGAGCCAAACCAGCAGCTCACAGAGCCAAGGAGAAGCAGAGGTCAGGGGCGTTTAGCACCCCACAGACCAAGCTGGGAGAAGCCTTCTGAGGCAGGGTGGCTTCAGCAATAGTAGGACAACTGCACCTCACCAACCTGGAGCCCCATTGCTGGGCATGAGCCCATGAGTTTTTAGTGTCCGAGATTTCCCATGTGCCAGGGGGACTGAATTTTTACCCTCCTCACTTTCCCCTGCTGCACTAACCCAGCCCTTATGAAAATCCACCAGAAGATAGTATGATTTTTTGTTTTTTGGTGGTACTGGGCATTGAACCCAGAGTCTCCACACCAAGCTACATCCCCAGCCCTATTCTTTTTGATAGGGTCTCCATAAGTCACTACTGAATTTGTGATTCTCCTACCTCATCTTCCTATAGTCCTGAGATTACAGCCATGGCCCACCCAACTTGGCCTGACATGGCTCTTTTAAGATACCTGGAGGCTTTTGAGACCTCCAGGGACAAGCAGGGACCTTTGAAGAGACCCCGTAGGGCTGGAGATGTGATTCAGTGGTAGAGACTCACCTAGCATGCTTGAGGTCCTAGGCCTAATCCCTGCCCTGCAAAAAACCACCACCAAACACCCTCTGGACTTATGCACCCAAGGACACTATTCCCCAGAGTGGGCAAGAGACCACACCACCCTTCTCTAGTCCTTAAGGAGAACCCACAAGTTAAGAAATCAGGGCTTGCAGCCGGGTGAGGTGGCTCATGCCTGTAATCCCAGCACTCGGGAAGCTGAGGCAGGAGGATCACTGTGAGTTCGAGACCAGCCTGGGCTTCCAGGTCAGTCTCACTACATAGTGAGACCCTGTCTCAAAAAAACCAAAAACAAAAACAACAACAAAAGAAAAGAAATTGAGGACTCTGCTTTACATGCCTCTCCTCTTGGCAATTAAGTTTCAACTCCTAAACTCTACTGAGAGGCTGAGAGGAACAGGTACTGCCATTTGGAGAGGAGCTGACAGGCACCCTGCCTCTGCCAGTCCCCTGTGAGCACAAAGTTATTGATTTAGATGGGAAATACAACTTTCAGTAAAAAGAGTAGCCCATTACATCTCTTCTTCACCCCTCAGAGAAACTCCTCCCCAAGCCCCAGGTGCACAAAGCCACTTCAGTTTGTGACCAGCCCCCTGTGACCTAACTGGCACTTCCATGCCACTACCCGATGGCAGCTGGCTCAGCCAGAGTCTTGCATCACCACCAGCTGTCACATGCTACAGGACTGCTCATGATGCTAATTAAAGCCACCTGAATCCTTGCCCTATCGCAGGTGCTGACAGTCCGGCCCTGCTCCCATGGCCTTGGTGCTCCAAGCAGTGAAGTACTCACAGGTGTCCCTGGGTTAGCCATTTTGGCTCCCACTGACCCCAGACACTTGTACAATTGCTTTAAATCAAGGACCTAGAAATGCACATCTCATAGGCAGAGGTCTTGTTCTTTCCTCTTAAAAAATTCAAACCAGGGCCAGGGATTTAGCTCAGTGGTTCTACTGCCTACCTCACAAGCACAAGGACCAGAGTTTGATCCCTGGTACCACCCCCCACAAAAAAGTTCAAACCAATTCCTAACCCCAGAACCTGCTTCCCTGGGGTTGGCACAGACAAGTTTGTTAGGTCTCAGGGCCCAGCTACATATTCCTAGCTGGGCGTAGTGGCAGGTACCTAGAATCCCAGCACTCAGGAGACTGAGGCAGGAAATTCCAAGAGTTCAAGGCCAGTCTGGGCTCCATAGTGAGATCCTGTCTCAAAAACAAAACACCTACTTTGTCCCTTTACCATCTAGAAGTGTCAAATGTTAATTTCGTTATTGCACCCTTTTCTAACAGCTTATTTTTTTTACTCCTTCCTCTAACAAAGCCTGTGGAAGCATCTCTTGGCTCACAATTAGGTGAGAAATGGGCCACTTCTGCTGGCCCTTGAGAATACAGATGGTAAGATCAGACAACCTGGCAACAGTTGCCTTGAAGGAATGCCTGGAACACTGCATCAAGACTTCGTTGTTTGGAAGCTGGGGCATGGTGGCACGCACCTGTAACCCCAGCACTTGGGAGGCTGAGGCAGGAGGATCATTGTGAGTTTGAGACCAGCCTAGGCTACATAGTGAGTTCCAGGTCTGTCTCAACTACATAGTGAGACCCTGTCTCAAAAAACCAAAAAAAAAAAAAAAAAAAAAAAAAAAAAAAAAAAAAAGACTTCATTGTTTGGGCTGAGGGTGGGGCTCTGCAGCAGACCTGCACTTGAGTGATTAAGGCCCTGGGTTCAGTCCCCAGCACCGAAACATAAAAGATTTCACTTGCTTCAAGCGGCACCTGGGCAGTAATCAAATCCAGTATTAGTGACAATAGTATTAACTGGTAAAACAAGGGTTATTTTTAATTTTCTTTATTTGTTTTGGTGCCGGGGATTGAACTTGGGTCCTTGTGCTTGCAAGACAGGCAGTGGAACCACTGAGCTAAATCCCTGGCCCCATTAGTTTTAATTTTCTTAGAAAAGCAAATGAGAAGAGGCAAGAAAAAATATATTAGCACAAATAATAAGGCTGAAGTACAGAGTATAGAACACACTGTGCCTTGCCTGGGTGGAGCTGTAGCAGCTGTGCAAAGGTTATAGGCCACACCTTCTAAGAAAAGCCTTGGGTGTCCTGAGGACCCAGCCATTCCTTAGACTGCAGACCCCCAAGCTCCGGAGATCAGCGTCAAACAGGCTAAGTCTACGTCACAACCCTTGGTTGGACATCAGACTGTTAAAAAAGGATTACATGAGGAAATGCCTTTACAGTGCTTGCCTAGTATCTGTCAGAGGAAATAAAGAATAAAGGAGAGCTGGCAATATAAGGCGTTTCAGCTACTGAGGATCAGTCTACAGAGGCTCTACTTCATGGCCGGCTTTAACTCCTCATTTCCATGTGCATGGTAATAGCTAAGTCTGTCATTGAACTGGCATGAGCTTGGCTGCTCCCTTAACTCATCTTCTCCTTGAGGAGGAAGAACGGTCAGCAGAGGGAACCAAGGAAAGATCAGACTCGACCTCATATAGGCCACCTGGGTAATGAGACATGGCTGCAGATTGAGAGCATCACTGTCCTTGGGACCAGAGTTGCAAAATGGTGCCAGTGGTTTAAAATTAAAAGGCCCTAACCGGTGTATAGCACATGCCTATAATCCCAGCAACTTGGAAGGCTGGAGCAGCAGGTTCAGCTGAGTCCAGGCTGGGCAACTTGGCAAGACCCTGCCTCAAAATAAAAAATAAAAAGGGCTGGGGATGAGGCTCAGTGGCAGGGTATCCCTGGGTTCAATCTGAGTACTTGGAAAAAAATTTCAAAGGCCCTTAGCTTGACCAGAAAGTTATCCCACCTCACGGTAAGGCCTAAGGTCAGACCTGCTGCACCACTGAGGACTCACGACAGTTGCCTCCCACTACACAGATTTGGACAGTGTGGACAAGCTCGCTGTGAGAAGCGCTCCCAGGACTGGTAGTGGGCTTTGTGCTCTCAGCCACTCACAGAAAGGAGCAAAATCACAAAACAATGCTTACAAAGTCCTTGTGAGAACACTAAAAAATTCCCAAACTAGTAAAAGTGTATTATAGGGCCAAGGATTTAGCTCAGTGGTGCTGCTGCCTGCCTCATAAGTGCAAGGTCTCGAGTTCAATCCCCCCACAAAAGTATTATAATAATTATGTAAAAACCAAACTGACTCACAAAAATAACAGATACAAGTATAACCACTGGTAGCATTTCCATTTGTCTCAGTGACACAAGTTGCATGTGATTTCTCTTCCAGCTGTTTGTTCCCACTCTTACAGCAGCTGGGTTTAAATTTCCATTGACATGGAGGACTTTTCCAGAACTCTTTCACAATTGTCTCCAGGACAGAGGACTCACCCGCCTTCACTCTCAGCATCTGTGAGTGCAGCTCCAGATGAGGCGGTGAAGTAGACAGAGCTGGAGCCTGTGGAGTCGCTCCGTTCCCGGGCAAACAGAAACCGTCGCCGCCGAGCCACTCGCTGGCTGTCTTCCAAGTGTGATCTGGAAAGCAGAACCCATTCCAGAGGGACCGTTAGGCCTCATCCTGCCTGTCTTTTCCATTACTACTCTTCTTCCTTGTTCAAAAGCTACAAGCAGAGAAAGTCCTGGGTCTCTTCCCTCAGAAGAGCAAGAAAAGTGCTCCCCAGCCCAGCCCACATGGCAGAGTGGGCCGAACAAAGTAATTTCAACTACGAGGCAGCAAGGAACTTGTAAGGAGCCAGGTGTATCCACCTCCCTCCCCCATTAAGTCAGAAGCTAAAAATCTAGCTTCCTAGAGACAGAAAGCAGGGGCCAGAATAAACCACAGTTGAAAAAGCCGAGGAAATGGAAAAGTCAGAGGATGGAGGGCAAAGCAGAAGAGGGGCTGCATTACTCACCGGACCTCCCCAACAATCTCCCCGGCGAGCCCCTGCAGGCTGTTCCTCAGCTCCATCACCTCCTGCCGCAGGGCCACAAGACTGCTCGACACAAAGTCCAGGCGGTCTAACACCTTCTCCTGCCCTACCTGCGGAAGGCTGGGCAGCACTGAGGCATCTCCAGCCTCGCCAGGAATGGCCTGCAACACTGCAGGAAAGAAGGAAACAGGGACACCCATAGCTGAGAGTGAGGAAGGCCTCATACCTGGAGTCCCAAAACACTTGCTTCTCATTAGGGTTCAGTTTATGAAGAAAACCTTGAAGCTCGGGTAGCATGTGTTCACAACTAAGTCACAGTAACTAGTCCCAAGGAGCCACTCAGAAAAAAAACTAAGGTCCCAATCACTCAGCAAGGGCCCCCTGCTCTTCCACACCAGGGCTCGTCAGAATTGCTGTTCACAGCAGATAAAGTAAACTCCTTGCAAGGGTGTGGTACCTAGAAGACAGGACAACTGCTACAGTAAAAGAAAAACCTGCACCTGACCTCAGTGCCAAATGCAGGGAGTCATACCAACTACACAGCAAAACTAAAACTCAACTCACTTCACAAGTAATAAAGAAAAGGCCGCCTCTCTTGAGAACTCCATTTAGTATTCTCAAGAGGGTAGAGAGAAGGGCAAGTTATCAAGAAAGGGCACACTGGAAAAAACCCATCCAAACTTGTGGGGAAAACACCATACCAAGCCCCACCAACCCAATCCTGAGCTGAGATCTAGGTGAATAACAACAGTGTGATGCTAGTAGTGTTAGTCTTAAAGGAAACTAGACTGGAAAATGGAAAAACAGGAGAGAAAGCAGGAAGGCAGCACCCACAGGACAAGCAAGCACAGATCTCTTGTTAAAGGGAATCTAGGCCAGACTACAATATATATGCCACAGGATTCAAGAATGTAGAACAAGAGTGAGCCCTGGGAATGTGGCCCCTTTGTCCTAACCTCAGTACAAAGGCAGACAACTGCTAAGAAATTACAAAACAAATGAACAAAAGGAAAAGAGGGGAAGGTACATGTCCAGGCCGAGCCTTGCCACTTACACTGTGACAGGCTCAGGAATTTACACTCTTCCTGAATATTTCTTAAGAGGGATAAAAGGCTTGGATTAGTCTCCAAGTTCCCTTCAAATTCTCACAATTTGTGTAATTTAATACACAAATCTCAAGACTTAACTCCTACAAGGTTTTGTGTTTTGGGGCGGGTTGCCTTCTTTTTGGACTAATTACAGCCTTTCCCCAACTCTAGGCAAGTGGCTTTAATGCACACGCATTACTATGGTCAGAATCAAAAGTGAAAGCTGAACAGTCCAGGGGGAAAAAAAAAAAGAGTATAGAAAATGAAAATGGGGGGCCAGGGATTTAGCTCAGGTGTTCTGCCGCCTGCTTTGCAAGCACAAGGACCTGAGTTCGATCCCGAGTACCAAAAAAGAAAGAAAGAAAAGAAAAAAGAAAATGAAAATGAAAATGGTTTTTCTTTTCAGTAAATTTTCCAAGAGAGGCACCCCCTCCACTACCCTGTCCCGCAGGCTCTGCCCCAGGTTAATCAGTCAGCAGTGACCTCGGTCTCAGCCCATACCCTGGCGTCCCGGCTCTGAAGTCTGCTCGTAGTCCAAGAAACTGGGCAGGCTCTGGCTGCGGCCACGGCGTTGGGTCCGTTTCCATCGCTGACTGTAGAGAACGCACAGGAAACCAAGGCCGGCGGCGGTGCCCAGCAGCAGCCCCAGCCCGGCGCGGGCGCCGCTCAGAGCCCCCAGGCTAGACATGATGCACCTGTGGCCGGGGAGCCGGGGAGACGCGTGAGCCCGGGAATCTCCCCTCGCCACACCTCGAGCTCCCACGAGTCGCGCCCCAAACCGGACTTTCAGATTCTGCCAGCCGCTGGCCCGTACCACCGCGCCTCTCCCCACGCCTGGACCCAGGCTCTGCTCCTACATACCCCTGACCTGAGCAGAGTCCGCTCCCGACCTTCCTCCACTCGGCCTCACCACGCTCAGACAACAGACTCGCCGTCCTGGCTGCAGATTCCTGTTCCCTCACGCCCGGACCCGAAGCTGCCCTGGCCCGGTAGCAAGTCAGCTCTGGCCCTTACCCGGCCGCGGGCCACCATGGCAGCAGAGCAGCCTCGGCCTCACTGTCAAGCACCGTGACGTCACGAACTGCGCCACCCGCCGGCTCACACGGGGGGGCGCGGGGAGATGACTTCACGGGCCCCGCCTCCGGCCGCGACGGGAGGGGTAGGGCCGCCTGAGGGCGGAGTCAACGAAGGTGTCTGCCAATGTTCGGCCGCCGGGGTTCCGTTTCCTCCAGGCACACCGACAGACCCTGCTGCGTTCAACGTGCTCACCATCGCTCCCGCTTTCCCTCGCTTCCTCTTCTCTTCACAACAGTTCTGAGTTTCCTAACACTGGCTCAGCTCAGACTTCCTCCATTTCGGCGTAAATGAATAGCGTCAGGATCTTTCACACAAACCATTCACTGAGCTCAGCTAGCAGCGCCTTCGGCACATCCATGAGAACGGGTGCATGGTTATCTACGAGAGCTCCCTGCAGCTGGGTCCCGCCGCTGACAGTTCGGTCCGCAGGGCTGGGGTGTAGCTCGGGTTGGGGCGCCTTCCTTCTGTGTGCGGAGCTGGGTTCCACCCCAGCAGCCTTCCCCTAATCACCCCTCCAATTGTAGATAACAGAACCAGAGTCGTTCAGCCGGGCCTGGATGCGAACCCTTGTAATCCTTGCTACTTGTAAGGCTGAGACAGGAGGATGGAATATCACAAGCCAGCATAGGCAACTTAGCAAACTTTGTCTCAAAGTAAAATGAAAACAGTTGGCAGTGTAGCTCAGTGGTAGAGCACCTTCCTAGCACGAAAGAAGCCCTGGGGTTCAGTCTTGAAAACTGGACAAAGAAAGTGTCAGACGTGGTAGCACACACCTATAATCCTAGCACTCCAGAGGCTGATGGAGGAGATTGGTTGCGAATTTGAGGCCAGTCTGGGTTCATAGTTCAAGGCCAGCCTGAACTACATCGTGAGACCCTGTCTCAAAAAGAAAAGAAAAAAGATTTAGTTTATCATCACTTAATATCCCATATATAGAGGCTGAGGCAGGAGGATTGCTCTGAGTTCGAGACCAGCCTGGGCTTCATAGTGAGTTCCAGGTCAGTCTCAACTACGAAATGAGACCCTGTCTCAAAAAACCAAAAAAAAAAAAAAAAAAAAAAAAAAAAAAAAAAAAAATCCCATAAATATGTTCAATATGTTGTTGTTTTGTTGAGTCAGTATCTTGCTCCGTTTCTCAGGCTGGCCTCAAACTTTCAATCTTCCTGCCTCATCCTCCTGAGTCGCTGGGATTACAGGCGGGCACCACCTTGTCCAGCTATGAAAAATGTTTTAATATGCTTTCCCCTTATTTTTCTCATTTTTTTGTAATAATCGTGCATCGCTTCTGCGATAAAACATAATCACTTTATTTTCAAGGAAACAAAACTCATTTCCTCTGGGAAACTTTCCCAGAGGAAGGCCTCCCACTCCACGGAATTCATCTCTGTCTTCACGCCGGAGGCTCTCTTACCACTGCGACATGGTGACTGCTTTCTAGTGTACCCCACTGAATGCTCTTCCTGTCAGGGGAGGTCCGCGCCGGGTTCCTAGCGCTGCGATGGGAAGCCATCTGTAAGCCAGGAGGGTGCTTGGACCGGAAACAAGCTGCGGTGGGACAGTTTCTGCAGGTGACCCGATGAGGCGAGCGCGCGGGCGGGCCAGGGGAGTGCATCTCCCCCGGATATTAAAGATGCTATCAGGCTCGCCCCAGCGTCCGCAGTGCGGGAGGCGGTTCCGGATGGGGCTATCTCACAGCGAGTCTCAGTTCTGCAAATTAATAAAGCCCAGGCCACCCGCCGAACGATGCCTGCCCTCCCTCCCCTCCACCCTCTCCACATGCCAGCCTGAGACATGAGCGGACCCCAGGTGCCCACCCTGCCCCTCACCCAGAACATCTGCCTCACCACCTGGGCTGTGCTAGAAAGAGGTGAGTCCAGCAGCTCCGGCCTGATGGCATTTCTTTTGCATCCATTTCAAAGGTTTGTGCATTTAAACAATTTTTTTAAATTTGTTCATTTTTAAAAAAATATTTGGTATTGAACCCAGTGCTTTGCACACAGTAGACAAGTGCTCTACCACCGAGTGACACCCCCAACCTCCTTTCAAATTTTGAGACAGTTTCACTATGTAGCCCAGACTGGCTTTGAACTTTTGATTCTCCTGCCTGAGCCTCCCATGTAGCTGGGATTACAGGGGTGCACTACCTCACCTAGTTAAAATTATTCTTATTAAATAATTTGTGGCCACAAAAGAATATTAATAACATATAAAGATGAAGAGTACATTTATAACCAGAAACGGTGGCACATGTCTGTCATCCCAGCACTCAGGAGGCTGAGACAGGAGGATCACCACTTGTGTTCAAGGCCAGCCTGAGCTACATAGTGAGTTAAAGGCCAATAAGATTCAGTATCAAAAAACAAAACAAAACAGTTATAAGCCCTTGTACCACTCACCTCCTGTTGTGAAAAAGAGATGATTCTGTCTCCTTTTTTTTCCGGTAACAGCTCCCTGAATATTGTATTTTCCTTGCTTTTCGTGTGTGTGTGTGTGTGTGTGTGTGTGTGTGTGTGTGTGTGTGTGTGTGTTGGGGATTGAATCCAAAGTCCTTTGAATTGTGCTACATCTACGACCTCTTTTCAATGTAATCGTATTTAATTTTGTTTGTTTATTGAGATAGTGTCTCACTGTATGGTTCAGGGTGGCCTTGAACTCACTATGTAGCACAGGCTGGTCTCTAACTCACAGAGATCCTCCTGCCTCAGCTTCCCAAGTGGTGGGATTACAGGCATGTGCCACCACACCTGGCTCTTTTACTACCGGAGATTGAATTTGGGACCTTGAGCTTGCAAGGCAGGTGGTAGCACCACTGAGCTAAATCCCCAGCCCCCCTTTTTATTTTTTTTTATTTTATTTAATTTTTTGAGACAGGGTCTCACTATATAGAGACTGACCTGGAACTCACTATGTAGTCCAGGCTGGTCTCAAACTCACAGCGATCCTCCTGCCTCAGCCTCCCAAGTGCTGGGATTACAGGCACGCGCCACCATGCCCTGCAGGCTTTTAAAAAATATATACCTTTTTAAAATTAATTAATTAATTAATTTATTTATTTATTTATTTATTGATACAGGAGATCTAACTTAGATCCTCACGCTTGCAAGGCAGGTGGCGGAACCACTGAGCTAAATCCCCGGCCCTCCCCCGCTTTTTTTAAACAGGGTCTCCCTAACTAGGATTATAGGAGTCCCTGCTTTGGTGGGGGGTACTAGGGATTGAAACTGGGACCTTACTTACACTTGCCAGGCAGGTGCTGTGTCACTGAGTTCCATCCCCAGTCCTTTTTTTTTTCTCTTTTTTGAGACAGGGTCTCACTATGTAGTCCAGGCTGGCCTCAAACTCCACAGCAATCCTCCTGCTTCAGCCTCTGGAGTGCTGACATTACAGGTGTGCACCACCATGCCCAGCTTTTTCTTTATAATTTGATCACATAGGTTTGGTTTGGTTTTTTTAATTAAAAGACACATAATCATTGAAACATCACCTAAAGGGCTTTTCAAAATGAAGTTGGGAAGCCACTGAGGGAACAGAACTAATGTGTAAAGCTGCTGCCCAGGAAGGTGAATCAGTCACCACCATCCTCTGGCTGCCTCTGGAATAATGACAGTGCCCAGAGACTGGAGACATGAATCTGGAGGTTATGGGACTCTTGTTTACAGACAGTTCTACTTGGCTTATCCTTTGTTTTCTCTATCTTCTACTGGCCACATAGACCACATGGAGTAGCTCTTGCATTCTTTTCCAACTTTGATAGAAGTTTCTCTACAAACAGTTTTAATTATTGCTACAGTTTGGATGAGGGTCCTGAAGGCCTATGTGTCACTGCCAGGGTGGCTCTCCTGGAGGTTATGAGTCCTTTAGGAGGCTGACAGGAGGTTCTCAGGTCCCTGGGAGCAAGACCCCGAAAAGCCCTGTGGAAGCCCTATTTCTCATCTCTGCTTGCTCCCTCCTAACAGACCAGTTTGCTCCTCACCCTCCTGCTTGATGCACTGCCCTTATGGCTGCCCAGTGCAAGGGCACCACCCAGTCTTGGATCAGAACCTCCATAACCATCAGCCCCAACAAGCCTTTCTCTATATAAGCTAACAGTAATGCAAAGCTGACTAATGCAATTAAGTTGTGATGACTTAAGAGCTTTTTGCTAATATAAGCTCCACTCGCCCTACCTCCTTCGGAACACTGAGCTATCCGATCCCATCTCCCAAATGATAATTCCCAAGATGTCCCCAAAGAAAGTTCTCTTACATTTACAGTTTCAAAAAGACAATTTCTAAATCTTTGACTGACAGTGTTTAAATATCCAAACAATGTTTTGTTGTTCTGAGACAGGATCTCACCATGTAGTCTCTGTGGTTCAGGATGGCCTTGAACTTACTAGGCAGCTCAGGCTGGCCTCGGACTTGCAGTGATCCTCCTGCTGTTAGTAGGGTTTGGGGTGCTTTGGGTCCCTTCTAGAGATTCTTTCCAGGTTCTTGTTGCCCTGTAGAAGGTATGGACAGGACAGGTGCAAAAGATAGCAATGTTTTACATTTATTACAGGTAGGAAAAGAAACAGGCTCTGCAGAGTGAGTGTGGGCTGAGTAAAGGTAGGAAAAGAAGCACACTCTGCAGTGAGACCAGACCGTGAAAAGACCTCACAGCAGCCATGGCCACTGTCTTGCATCCCCCACTCCTCAGGCTCACTGGATCTAGGAATCCTGTGGAAACCCCGCTTGATTTCCACCAGAAGATCTTGTCAGTACTTTTTGATTGGTTGTGGGTGCAGGGCTTGGGAACTCTTCTGCACCTGTGTCGTTTTTTTCTTTTTCTCTCTCTCTCTTTTTTTTTTTTTTTTTTGGTACTGGGGATTGAATGTAGGACTTTGTGCTCACAAGGCAGGCAGGGCACCACTGAGCTAAATCACCAGCCCTGCCCACATGTCTTTGTGCCTGGCAGGTCACACCCACTTCTCCAGCTGGGTACCTTATGCCTGATCTCCTACCTCACTTCTTCAACCTTCCCAGTGCTGAGACTGCTGGTATGTGCCGAATGGTTTGCTTTTTCACTCAAATGCTATAAACTTTCCATTGTATGAAGTCCTACCAATAATATTTTCCTTCTCCTTCTTTTTTCTTTTGGAGACAAGGTCTTGCTGTGTTGCCCAGCCAAGTCTCAAACTCCTAGGCTCCTCCTGCCTCAGCCTCCTGAGCAACTGAAACTACAGGGATGTACCACTATGCCTGGCTACCAAAAACTTTTAATCTAGTTTACTCTTCATGAATATAGGGGCTGTTTCCAGACTTTTGCCAATGACAGCTTTGCATGGTCCCTGAGAGTGGGTTTTCCTAGGGGTCAGCTTCAGCCCAGGGGATTCCTGTTGCTTGTATCAGTTACAGTGATTTGCAAACTCAACAGTGTTAGTCATTAGCATACACACACACACACACACACACACACACACACACACACACACACACAGAGTTTTTTGTTTTTAATTTGGTACCAGGGATGGAACTCATGACCTTGCAGACACAGCACCACTAAGCCAAATCCCTTGCCCATTTTTTTTAAATACAGGGGGGTTCCCAGTTTGATCTTGAACTCCTGAACTCAAGTGATCTTCTTGCCTTGGCCTTCTGAGTTGCTGACACTATAGGTGCAAACCTCCACCTGGCAATATTTACAAATAATTTTTTTAATGTTTTGGTGCTAAGACCTGAACCCACTCACACTTGCTAGTTGAGCCCTGTGCCACTGAGCTAAATTCCCAACACCAACGTTTACAAATTGTATTTATTTATTTATTTTTTTATTTTTTTGGGGGGGTTTCTGAGACAGGGTCTCACTATGTAGTGAGAATGACCTGGAACTTACTGTGTAGCCCAGGCTGGTCTCGAACTCACAGTGATCGTCCTGCCTCAGCCTCCGGAGTGCTGGGATTACAAGCATGTGCCACCATGCCCGGCTAACATTTACAAATTTTAAATCTTTTCTTTTTTGTTAATCTGTAAAGCAGTATTGTGTCATGGTTTTAAATGTAGCTGAGGGCCAGGTATTTAGCTCAGTGGTTCTGCCACCTGCCTTGAAAGCAAGCACAAGGTCCCAGATTCAATCCCCGGTACCAAATAAATAAATAAAAATAGAATGTGGCTGACTTCATTTCCAGGATTTCTAATGCCGCTAGGCCTCTCGTTAGGTGCTTACTGGTCACGTCCTCCTCCACACAGTGCCTTGCTGAGTCGCTTGTCCACTTGTCCATGGTTTTTCTGTTCCCTCACTGATTTGTATGAATTCTTTGTAGGTCAGGGGAAGGGATCTTTTGTCATTTTCACAAGTTCTTTGTTGAGCATGAATTAGCCTTCTCCCTCTGGCTACGTTGTTAGTCCAAGGTAGAGGCAGGGTGGGAACCCCAGAGGGCCCTTTAGGACAAGGACTCCTACTTCCTTTACCTTTCCCAAGTCCATCAGGGAGCTGGGAACCCTGTTGGCCTATGGATGCCCTGAAGAAAGTGTGAATGCTTCCAGGGCCTGAGAGGTGAGGTAATGAGGTGTTTGAGTGTTACTTTGCTTTTTAGGGAACCACTCCTCCTAAGGCAGACAAGGAATGTTGAGTGGTCAGATTTGCTGCACCCAGGTGCGGGTGGGGACGCTGGCCACGAACTCGCCACCCTGTCTTTGGCAGCTGGTGCGGGGGTAGCTGTTCACCTGCCCTCCTGCGCGTGCGCCTCCCACAGCGGGGGCGTGGTGGGGCGGGCGTGACTCCAGAAGTTACTGGAGAAACCAAAGTCCCCGCTGCTGTGCTAAGAATTGGTCCCTGGCAGACTGCATGTTGCCCAGGAGGGAATTTCAGCCTCAGCTTTCAGGGGTAGCCACAAGTTTCCTGCCTCGGCTTCCCAGCTGAAAGAATCTCTGGGAAAGGTGTTTCAGTAAGGGAATGTGGGGGTCTGCTAAAGATGTCGCAGCGTCCCGTCCAGGGGCAGGTGGCTGGTGCTTGGCCTGGAGCACCATTGCTCTCCGCTCTGCTGCAAGGGGACTGGCGGGGGCCAGCAGGACTTGGAGGTGCTACAGGAAGGGGATGCAGGGTCAGCACATGCACTCCAGGCCGCAGGACGAGGCCAGTACAGTCCCTGTGACACCGCTCCCCCACACCCAGTCCCTTGTCCGGAGACTGCTCCGCTGAGACGAGGGTGGCCCGGGGTCCAAGTCCGCGGCTTGGAGCGCAGTGGCAGGCGGAGCCTGCCAGCGTCACGGGGGCCCACGCCTGATTGGCCGGCTGTGGGGGCGAGCGGAGTAACGGAACAGGAGCCTTGGGTCGCAGCCACACGTCCAGGGTCCGAGTGCGGAGCCCAGAGCCGAGGGGGAGCCAGGAGGGACATACGCCATGCCCTACCTGCTTATCAGCACCCAGATCCGCATGGTGAGTACCCGACGCCCGCCACGAGCGCCCTGTGGGGAGAAGGCGCTCCGGGCAGTGCTGGGCCGGGTCTCAGGCGACGCCTCGTGCAGGGGCAACTGCGGGGCGGGAGGGGGGCGCGGAGCGGCCTGTCCCACATGCGGGAGCATTGCACTTGCTGCCCAATGCCCTCCTGGAGCCGCTCCGCCGGCACGGGCATTACCTGAGGAGGGAGGTGTGGAATGACTAGAAGCGGAGACGGCGCTGGACGCTCGGGGCCACGTCCCGGTAGTGCAGCCCCGGCAGCTCCCGGCAGCCCTTCCGAGGAGGGCTCGCCCCTGCCTGCTGGGGGGTGGGGGCACAACACCAGGCAGGAGCTCAGGTCGTGGCCTCTCCTCTGGAAAATGAAGGTCCTGGGTCACTAAGCCGGGTGGGGAGCAGGGTGCTCCAGCGGAGGGGACCCAGCTGCCCTGGGATGAAGGAAAGCGTGGGTAGGTGGGTTCATGGCTGGGGCGGTCTCGGGACCAGTAATCTGTACCTGTGCAGTTGCTAAAATGTGGGTTCCTGGACTCCTTCCCAGCACTCTCTCTCAATTTGGAAATGTCTTCCTCTAATTATTCTTTTTAAAAATTATAGCTTACATATATTACAGATGCCAAAGAATTTACTTGCTGAAAGTGTACAATTCAATTTTTTTTCATATTCAGAGTTATGCAAACATAATCAATTCTCGAACATCTCCAACCCCTCCAAAGGAGGTCGCTCATTTCCCCATTCTGCAGTGATCCTGACCTACGTGCTGACCTCCATGGTATCATGTCTGGCCTCTCTCCCTTCGGCGTTTTCAGGCTCCATCCACATTGCAGCACTGACTGGTGCCCATTCTTTTACTTTAGTCACTTAAGCTACACATTCTATTTATCCAGTCATCAAATCACAAACTTTTGTTTCCACCTTTTGGCCATTACAAATAATGCTGCTAATTAATGTGTGTACAAGTGTTTTGTTTTTTACTTAAATTCACTTGCTTTCACACAAGCTTTTGTGTGAATGTGTGTTCAAGTCTCTCATTCTCCTGGTGCACTTGATTCCCACAGACATGGATGGGGGAAGCTGGCGTGAAGGTGAGAAGAGTCAGGCAGTGCCCAGCTCTGCGTGGGGGAGTCAGGGAGGATGACACTGCTAGGCTGATCACTGATGGGCCCCACCCCTTCCCAGCTTGGTCTTGGCCTCCAAGGCTCCTTAGCTCTGCCTCAGCCCTTACCTGCAGTTTGCCCAGGGCCGGAAGGCAGTGAGATGTGATCTAATTCTCGCTCTGGAAACCCAGCAGGCAGCCACCCCGGCTTACCTTGCAGGAGGTGGGCCCCACCATGGTGGGTGATGAGCACTCGGATCCGGAGCTGATGCAGCATCTGGGGGCCTCGAAGAGAAGTGTCCTGGGGAACAACTTGTAAGTAGGGGCGTCCCTCAGCACCTTTCCTGCCTGCTCTGTACATCACCCAGCCTGAGCCCACTCGGCCATCCCCATGGGAGGATTCAGCTCCCCAGGTCTGGGCCTCCTAAGCAGGTTGTTGTTTATCCTGCCCTCTCAGCTCTAAGCTGGACCCCTTCGAGCAGACAGGCAGAGAAAGCTTTCTGTCTTGAGCCACTGAGGAAGCTGTGGGTGCACTGAAACAGCAGGGTTCTTGAGTCCTGCTTCCAGTTCTGCTGCTGACAGGGGACTCGGCCACTCCCATGGCCCGCCTTCACTGTCTCCACATCGACACTGAAACTAAGACCCCTGCTTCCTTTTCTGCCCGCACCCTTCCTACTTAGTAGTGGGGAGCCCTGGCCTCACATTCTGGAATCTGGAGAAGGGTTGCCAGAGTGAATTTCAGTTCAAAGATCCACTCCTAGCCCCTTGGGTCAGGGCTGAAGGCCAGCGGCAGTCCCAACCATTGGCCCTGAGGAATTCCCTGCTTTCCTGCTTCACAGCCCTGTAGCACCAATTAAACTTGAGAGAAGGGAAGCCAAGCATTCTCCGTGCCAGGGAGGGGTCAGCCTTGTGGTTCCAGGACTGCAGGACAGCGGGATAGCCAGAGGGGCCCAGGTGCCAGGATGAGGAGAGCTTGCTGCTTCTCCTGAACAGGGGATGGAGGAGTGTCGAAGGCTGTTCCAGACTAACACTGGGCTACACTGTGACACTGTGAAAGCCACCCAGCCCCTGTGCTCTCAGGTGTAAATGGCAATAAGGGTAACTTTGTTAGGCTGGATGAGGAAAAAAATGAACTAACACATGTGCAGTGCTTGACAGAGGGGCTGTGAATGTGCCCTCAGCCCGTCATCCAGGGAGCGCCTAGCAAACGCCACTCGATGGAGCTCCTGACCAGGCTGACCCAGCAGATCACAGCTGTGCAGGGCTTCTCTGTTTCCTCATGCATGTTGCCCACCCCCTGGTCTCTTTGCAGCTGGGAATACTATGTCAACGACCCTCCTCGCATAGTCCTGGATAAGCTGGAACACAGGGGCTTCCGCGTGTTGAGCATGACAGGGGTGGGCCAGACCCTGGTGTGGTGCCTGCACAAGGAGTGACCTTCTCACACTGACTTGCGAATGGACGCCTGTTCTTTGGAGCCCCAGACCTGCCTGCCTGCCTGCTCTCTTCCCAAATTGTCACCTTCCTCAGCCAAGCACGGATGGGCAGGGTTCGCCTGGCCTCAGTCGGGGGAAGGGGGGAGGCCCCCGGCCCAGGTGTTACATCGTTGCCCAGCTGCAGGCCGCCCACCTGGAACAAACAGTCCAGTGAAGGACAGCCCAGGGGGGCCGGGAGGGTGCTGTGTGCTGTCCACGCCAATAAAGGACTCTGATGAGTGGTTGCTCCTCTGCTGTGCCTGGCAGTGACTCATGACTCAAATTCCTGGGGGTCTGCCCCACCCAGAGAGGAAGCCAGGTTCCTACACCTAGGCATGGGATAGTGGTCGACTCTCTTTTAAAAAGAAGTTTATCGGGCTGGGGATTTAGCTCAGCAGTTCGGTGGCCTGCCTCAAGTGCAAGGACCCGAGTTCAATCCCCAGTACCAAAACAAACAAACAAACAAACAAACAAAAAAACAACAAAAAGAAGTTTATTGGAACTGGTTAAGAAAAAGGCTGTGAGGGGGAGAGTGGGAGCCTGAGGCTATGCAGGTTGCCCCTCGTCCTCTTGCTGCATCTGGGCAATCAGCTGTTGGCGCTCAGCCACCTGGCGCATGCGCATCATGACGAGGCTCTCATAGTCCCTCTCTGACAGCACTGAGCCCTGGGGACAGAGGGACAGGGAGGTATCAGAAGCAGCTAGGCACAGGCCCATAGGCTCCAGACTCAGGATGGGGCCTAGGTAGAGTTTCAGTCCCAGAGTCATGGAGGGAAGAAGACGGAGGAAAGGAAGGACCCAGGAACACCTGTCTGGAGTCCCAGCTCATCTGTTGGGAGCCAGCGGGCCTTGCTCCCCAGGCTGGGTCTCCTCTGCCGGCTGCCAGGACTCCTCTCCCAGGACTGTCACACCTAGTCAGCTCTGTTCATCTCTCCGGCAAATCACTTCCCCATGTCTGGCCAGGCCGTCTCCTTCCCTTCCCTCTCAGCCCATTACCTGACACTCCTTTCCTTGCCCCAGTGAAGTAGCTCAGCGGGCACAGACCAGAGCACTACCCACTACCCACTCCCCACTACCCAGCGTCCTGAGCTCTGAGGGTCTGGTCCGAGGACATGGGATGGAGCCCTGCATGCTACACAGCGTCAAACAGCTCACTCTAGACAGCAAGAGAGCAAACAGGAGGCCAACTCGCCCCTACACAGACACAGCAGCTCCCAGAGGGCAGGGCTCATGGTTTCTTTTATGATCTTGCCAGCACAGTGTGGGTTGAAGGCGAGCTATATTTTAACAATCAAAAGAATAATAAACAAGCAGCTCAATGGGCCAGTGGGGTGGTGCAGCAGCTCTGCAGCGGAGCACTGTGCTGCCAACCCCGCACCCTGATGAGGTCTGCGGTGTGACTTAGATCCCATCCTCTCTCCTGCAAGACCACTGTGTGGTCCGCTGGCTTCGAGGAGAGATGTGTAGCACACCTGAGGTACTGTCTGGTGTGGAACTGTGCACTCTGTGGGACAGGCCAGGAAGAAAGTGGGGTGGTCAGTGACCCGGGGATAAGAGGGGAGTGGCCGGAGTTAAGCTGCCAGGCCCTGGCCTACTTGTTCAGAGCAGGGGCACAGAGAAACAGGAAGTGCTACTCAGCCATCCCCATCCTATCCCCTCCCACAGCTGTAGCTGCCCTCTCCTGGCCAGACCTCTAGGGCACCAACAGTTCATAGCAGCACCACTTAGCCCAGCCCCTCCGAAGAAGAGGGTACACAAGGAGGCCCAGCTGCAGAGGGGGAGGATGACAGCACAGTGAGGAGGAAGGAGAAGAAAACTGAGCAGCCAGACTGGCTGGCAGGCCACAGGGAGGCGAGGGCAGTGCTTCCTTCCCCGAGTTACTGCTGCTTTGCCAAGAAAACCTGGAGTCACCCTGGAATGGCCTGGCCCCACCCTGGGAGGAGCCGAGCCCTTTACAGGCTGCTTCCCGTTAACACACCCTCTGCCCCCTTCCCCTATTCTTGCAGGCTCTGCTAATGAAGGCCTGTCACCAGGCCCCAGAACTGAGTCACCTGCCCAGGACAGGTCTCTCTCCCTCCTGGGCTCCTCCCAGACACACTGGCTGGGGCTGGGGTGCCCGGGCTGTGGTAAGACAGGAAGCAGCATGGTGACACACATGGCAGGCTGCCCCCAGACCAGTCTCATGAGGAATCTGAAGCTCCCCGTCGCCCTGGGGTGTTGGTCACAGCTGCCCAGCTTCTGCCTGCAGATGCTGCAATTACCTCAGAGCATGAAACCTGGCTTCCCACCTGACTGAGTCAGCTGAAAACAAAACACTGCCACAGACTGGCACAAACAGCCAAGCCACTAATCAGAGTCCCACAGCCACCGTCAGAGAAGGCACAGTTCTCCACTGACCGGGACACGGCAGTGCCCAGAGCGGCTAAAGAGGAGAGCTGGGTGCATCTGCCTCTGCCTGCGGAAGGAGCCGTGAGAGGATCTCCCTCTGCCACCCAGCTGCCCTTGCCCCAGCTACGTAAGTGCTCCACTCCCGCTGGGGTTTTTTCCACTGCCCTATCAGGTAACCAGGCCACTCCTGTCCCTGTGGGGCCTCTTGCTGCCAGGACTCCCAGCTCTTTGCTCTCCTGGACAAACTGCTCCTTCCTGGGCCTCGTGTCACCATCCAAGATGCTGGCCAGAGGACTGTGCTGAGCAGAAACCCAGGCCTGCACTTCGAGTGCACTCAATCTGTCCCTGACCCTTGGCATTCACTGCCCAGCAGGGACCTGATGGTCACTAGCTGCTGCTGAGTGCCTGACTGAGGTGCCAGGCTGACTGCTGGCTCCCTTGGGTCCCATGGAGACCTGGCGGAAAGGCTCCTTCCGCAATGCCTCCTTCCTCAAGCGGCTGACCCTGGGGCGGCCACGGCAACTCCGGCGACAGGGCAGTGTACTGAGCCAGGCTAGCACTGCCGGTGGTGACCACGAGGAATACAGCAACCGAGAGGTTATCCGGGAACTGCGAGGGAGGCCAGATGGACGGCGTCTGCCCTTGTGGGGAGATGAGCAGCCCCGGGCCACCCTGCTGGCCCCACCCAAGCCCCCACGCCTCTACCGAGAGAGCTGCAGCTGCCCCAACATTCTGGAGCCCCCGGCCACCTACGCCACTGCCTACTCAGCCACCCTGCCCTCGGCGCTCTCCCTGGCGGGCACCCTTCACCAGTCCTCAGAGGAAGACCTTACGGACACTCCCCCCTTCCGGCGGACACCTGCTCCGGACCTCAGTGACCCCTTCTTCTCCTTCAAGGTGGACCTGGGGATTTCGCTTCTTGAGGAGGTTCTACAGATGCTGAGGGAGCAGTTCCCCAGTGAGCCCAGCTTCTGAGGGGTGAGCAGGGCAGAGCTGGGGTGACAGAGGAGCTGGAGCCTGGTGACCCAAGGGAGGAGGGCACAGTTGTGCAACACGGAAAAGGCAAGGATAGGAATCCAGGGTTCTTCCTCCCTTCTGGATCCTGAGCAGTTGTCCAAGTTACCCAGAATGAAAGGACAGAGACCAGTGGGAATGCTGGGGGTCATTTTCTGGCAGGAGCCCTGAAGGAAGCTGCTGAAGCCAGGAAGGGGAGACCACACCCGGTAACCACAGAGGCCAGCAGAGTGACAGGATGGCATAGGGGCGAGTCAGGGCAAGGACACTGACTGGGCAGAATAGACAGTGCCCTGTGCCAGCCTCCTCTGCAGCCACTGTCAGCACAGAGGTCACGGGACACATCTGGGCCAAAGTGGTTCAACCAGGCTGAAGGGCAAAGTGGGGAGGCCTGAGAAGAGCAGGGAAATATGCTTGCCTCTGTCCAATCTGGTGGGCACTTGCTACAGATGGCTATTTAATACACTGAAATAAAACCACAAAGTCAGATGATTCAAATGTTCAGTTACTCCTGGTGAATGCTACCACACTGGGAAGCACAGCAAGAACAGACATCCCCGGACAGTCCACTGGACAGCACTGGCTAGACACTGGCCTGCAGCCATCACGCATAGGGTGGCAGGGAAGAGAAAAGTGTCAGAGGCTGCAGGAGCAAGAACAGGCTAGCAGAGAAGAGAGGTAGGCAGAGACACAGAGAAAGACACAAGAGGAAGACCAAATGAATCATTAATAGGAAAGAGGACATAACAGCCTGTCCCCACAGTTGCCTGGAACAATCCCTGGTCCCAAGAAAGCAGCTCTTGAGGGTATCAGCCAGACACACCAACGTGGCTTACAAAGAGGTGCTTTGGGGATTCCCAGAACTATTAGCAATGGCAGTCTTTAGGAAATGCTGCAGAAACAGAGGCAGATTTCTTTGCTGGGAGATAGGGGGACTGATTGAAGTGGCATATCTGGTCTCCCGAATCTTCTGCCAAGCCTGGGGAGCTCTGCCTTGCCCAAACCCCTGGCAGTGCAAGTGCCAGCTTGGCCAAGCCCACTGGGTCCAGGCTACCAGTTGTGCTATGGCTTCACCCTGTAGCCTGGCCAGAAGACCTGAAGCCAGAGCTCAGCAGCACTTAGCGAGACCACGGAGGTCACACCAGGCCTCTCCAAGTATAGCGTGACAGAGAGGGACAGAAGTTCTGATACACGCTGCTTCCTCAACCCAAATCTTTGGCCTCCTTTCCTTCTCTTGTGTGGAGGTGCTGAGCTGTAATGTCCCTTTGTGCATACAGAGATAATAAAGTTCTTTCCAACACAACCTGTGGAGTGTTTCTTGGGGCTGTGACGTGCTGGGACTTGAAGGGAGGGGAATGGGGTTTACTTTAAACCGAGTGGGACTCAGCACACTTCATATTTCCCCTCTGTCCTGGGTGTGGGACATACTAACAAGACAGCTTCTGGTCCCTGAGGCAGGTGGAGAGATGGATGGTGAGCAGAGCTCCTGCTAACCCAATGTGGGACTGTGGCTTACTGCACAGGCACCCAGAGTATTTCAGAGACAGAAGGACCAGGCTGCTGGCTCTTGCCCCCAAAGCAGTCTGACCAAGAGCCCTGCAACCCTAGCCTTGGCATCTGTGCCAGAAAACACCAGGGCCTTGGGAAGCAGAGTGAATACAAGCCTTGCTGGAGCCTCGAGGACTGGCAGCCAGCATTGAGCCAACAGTAGCCAGAAAATGCAAACCTCTCCAAGTGTGGGGCACTGAACGTGGCAGGCAGTGCCCAGGGCCAGCAAGGGACTGGTGTTATTTCTAGAGGGGCCAGTGTTATTACACAGTCAGTTCCTGCCTGGGGAGCCAGAGACACACCTGGGAAACTGAAGAAGTGGAGAAGGAAATGGCTGCCTTAGGTAGCTGTCTGTCACCTGCAGCACTAGGTTGTCTAAGCTCCAAATGCGTCACACCACAGCCAAGCAGCCTTCAGGCTCTCTGGGTGAGGGTGCGCCCTAGCAGGAGATGGATGTGGAGGGAAAGTTTGAGCTAAGATCACTGTGTTGGGCTGGGAGTGTAGCCCAGTGGTGCAGCATGGACGAATAGCATGGGTAAAGCTCTAAGCTTGATCCACAGCACCAAAATAAACAAATAATAATAATAATAATGTGTAGGGTAGGGTCCCTCTGGCCCTCAGAAAGGAAAAGGGATCAACAGGGAATCAGAGCCCTCTTTCTCAGGCTGGTGGGCCTGCCAATCTCACTCTCCTCCTCCTACTGACCTGGACGTGGGAGTAAAGGCCCCTGAGGGACACGCACGGGAAGAGGTCCTGGACCCTAAGCTGGCCCAGCTGGGTGAAGCCAGGCTCCTTACCTTTGACAGTTCCGGGTGGCTGGGGCCTGCCATGCCCTGGGGCTGTCCCTCCAACCAGGAAATCTTCAGAGGGTTATCCACCAGGCCCACTTCATTCTGGACAGCCAGCTCCTGTCAAACGGAGCATCCAGTCCTGGTGCCATGCATGCAAATCAGCTGTAAGGGCACCTCTGTAGTCCACAGAGAGGACAGAACCAGCATCCTAGTCCTCCCAGCAGGGCTGGCCAACACTAGCAACCTGAGAATGGTGGGGGCTGTGCTGGCTTCGGCAGCATATGTACCGACCACGTGGGCCAAAGCTTTAGATGTAGAACTTAGGAAGTGTGTCAGAATAACTCCCAGACAGCTCAACAAAGAAAAGTTAACTCCCTCGAGACTGAGACCACGACAACTTGGAGCCTTGTGCACTCTATTTTCAGCCCAAACAACCAAGCCTGGGAGCCATTCAAGCTTCTGCTCGGTAGCAATCGGCACTAGAGAGAACTGTCTAGTTTTGGTTTTACAACTACCTGCCAGATCTGCTGTCTTTCACACTGCGGACTTGCCTCTCTTATGGGTGCTGGGAGGTGTTTTTTATTTGCTCCCGCTAGGGCTCAAAACCCAGAGAGGGGTAGGCTGGAGCGTATGGAGCTAGACACCGTGCAGGGAAAAGTCACAGCATTCTCCCAGCACTCCAGGGGAAGGCACTTGAGGGAAGCCTTCACTCTGAGCTGGCGCAGAGATCCCTGGGAGTGTGGTCACCAACCCTGAGGGCCACAAAATTGAGTCCCTGCCCTAGGATGATTCCCAAGCCCTTCGAAAAACTCACCGCAGCTTTGACAGTCGAAAACTCCACCACGGCAGTGCCTGCCTTTTTACTGGAGAGCACCAGGTTGAGAACCTCACCATACTGTGGAGATAAGGAGGTCCCAGTAAGCGTGGCTGGCCTGTTGTCCGGGACCAGCTTGTGCCACAGACCAGCCAAGGCTGCCCTGAGGCCCACTGCTACATTTTCAGACTGGAAATAACCTTATTACCAGGACCAGAGAAGATCAGAGGTGGGAAAGAAAGGTTTAATTTCAGTAATGCAGGACTGAAAAGGAGAGATGAGAAAAGGCCTGGGACCCAGGCTGCTACAATGGCACAGCTGCCTCCACGGGATGGCGTGAAGTGGGTGGGCTCTTGTGTCCAACACTACTCCTCTCTTCCAACACATTCAGGCCAGCCTGTTGCTTCTGAGGTAAAGGCCAGACCTGGGCAGTGAAGGGGAGAGCTGGCTGGAGAGGGCACATGGCAATGCAAGTGACAGGAGGACTGTGCCTTGGGAGAACTTTCTAGGCTGTCCCATGGTCCGTGAGACAGTACAAAGGAACAGCAGGTAGAGATGTTAGGGGAAGAGTCCTGGGATTTGGCTGAGATGACAGGACAGAGAGGGCGAGAACAGGCTGACCTTCTGTAAAAGCCGCAGGAGGACATCTCTGGAGTAGCCACCTTGGGACTCATCCTCCTTCTCGCACTTCCATTTTAGCTGAAAGACAGTGGCACCAAGCACTGAAATTTTGGGTCAGTAGTACCAGACCCTCATCTGAGCTCAGCAGTGTGAGAAGGGGTCCTCCTGGTCACCAAGCACCTGTAACTAGGGAGCACCACCGAAAATGAAAACTGAGAGGGAAGGCAGCCAGCTCCCCTCCATGATGCGTCCCTCCCTCGGTGCTTCCAGGGACGCACTGCCCTACAGCCACAAGGGCTAGGTCTACCATGGCCAGCTCTGGGAGGCAGCCTGGGCCCTGGCAGCTGGAGGATGTCAAGGACGCCATGGTGTTGATGGCCCACTCGGAGACCTAGTGCCTCCCAGAAGCCTGTCTGCTCTCACTGAGGGAGGTGCGGTGAGGCTCGCTGACCCTGTGCATGCTCACCTTTAGTTTGGGAGTTCCTTTGCCTTCGGTATTTCTCACCTTTCCTGGAAATATTGGCAAAAGAAGAAAGGGAAAAGGCCGGGGATTTAGCTCAGTGGTTCCACTGCCTGCTTCGCAAGCACAAATTCCCAAGTTCGATTCCCCGGTACCAAACAAACAAACAAAAAATCAAGAAAGGGAAAATATGAAGAAACCACAGTTCTCCCAAAGGAGATGTGGGCCAGAGTCAGAGGAGCAGATAAGTCACTTCTGACCTAGAGTCATACCTGTCCTGCCGTGGTGAGGGGCTGGAGAGGAAGGTAGATGCAATCCTGCCCCATCACCAGGGTGGCCAGCCCACCCACCTCCTAAAGGTCACCTATACTCTCCAAATGAAGGGCTGGAAAAGCTCCCAGGGCAGGAAGCAGACGACAGAATACATGATTCCACTGAAGCACAGTACCCTGGGCCTTTCCCCCGCTCACTGCACCAACGGAGAGCTACCTCTGGCTGGGAGGGACTCAGACCGAAACAGCCAGAGAGAGTGAAAGCACACAGGCCCCCAAAAACTGGTAAGAAGAAGGGACCAGCGCAGTGTGCTAGAGGGAGGATCATGGGGTGTCTGCAGGGTTCTGGAAGCCACTCAATGGAGAAGTTGCTGCGGCCACTGTGAGAGGGGTGGGGCTGCTTGGGGGACAGGAGAGCATGGTGCTCTCACCTCTTAGCCTCTGCTCGCGGTCCTGGCGTATCTGCTCCCGGATCAGCCTCTGCTGCTCCTCCAGCTGCCGGGAACCCTCTTCTCGTAGGCGTGCAATCTGTAGAGCAAGGGACAGAGGGGTGATGATTCTGTGCTGATCCAACTCCAGGTTGGCTCACCTTGCAAAGGTCCCTGGGAAGCTCCACTTGCGAGCGAGTGCTCAGCAACCTGCAGATGGGACAGATCACCTTGCTCCCACAGAAGAAGGGGAAAAAGCAAGCCCTCCCCACCACACACCTCTCCTTCCTGCTGCCGCCACAGATGGCACTCAGGCAGGCGTGCTGGGTGCTCACCTCCTGCTCCAGCGTCCTGGTGCTCCGGCTGTCCTCCTCCTCCTCACTCCCCTGGGCCTGTGCCTGCCGCTCCCGGGCCTCCAGGTCTAGGCACAAAGGTTGTGTGACCCACTTGCTGGTTTGTGCAGTCTGCACAGCCTCAGCTCAACCCAGCTCTGGCTGCTTCCCCACTGTCTCCACCGGCACAAAGCCATACCATACAGTAACTGCTGCCCTTCACGCCCTGCCATATGCCTCCAAGTTACTTTCCTGAAAGGTCAGTGCCCAGAAAGGGATGGGCTCCAGCCAGGGGGCCAGCGGTCTGGAAGTTAAAACAGCTCACACTGACCAAGCTGGTTCTTTCCACACGCACAGGGACGGTGTGGGTGGGTGCCCTCTGTCAGCAGCCCAGGGCTGTGTGTCATGGATGCTGTGGGTGGAGCACTGGCCTCTGCCCCTGTGGTTTGGCACCACGGCCTGAGCTGGGCCTTGTCTCGGCTGGATTCATGTAGCACCACTGAGCTCAAGTTCCCACTGTCTCTCCTGCCGCTCATCCCCAGCTCACCATTACCAAGCCATACTGTGGACCCAGCACAGAAGCTCCCCTAAGGCGGCAGGGTCGGGGGAGCATCACCCCGGGTCTGCATCCCTGCTTGCCTCCCCAGGAAACCATCCAGTGGCCCTGTGCCAGGCCAGCTGCTGCGACAAACAGTTCTCTAGGGCCTGGGACTCACTGCTTTGCTTTCTGCATATTTTATTCACCTTTTTTTTTGCTGTACCAGAGATTGAACCCAGTGCCTTGCACAAACCAGGCAAGTGCTATGTCAGCTCACAGCCCACTCTCCTTTTCTGGATAGAGAAATGGCTACATTGGAATGGTGCAGGCACTTATCAAAATACGTGTATATTGAATGTTAGGAAGGGGAGAATATGGAGTACAGTTTGTTTGTACCAACCTTATCAGGTGGAAGCAAATGTTTTAAGATTGATTTATAGTCATAGTGGCCCTACATAATTTTTAAAAATCACTGACCCTTACTTGAAATGGGTGGATGTTGTGTTATGCAAAGAATACCTCAAAATAGGGGCCAGGGATGTAGCTCAGCAGTGAAGCACCTGCCTGACAAGCACAAGGCCTTGAGTACAACTGCCGGTATCAAAAAAATTGTGTGTGTGTGTGTGTGTGTGTGTGTGTGTGTGTGTGTGCGCGTGTATGCATGCGCGCACGTGTGTATATAAAACACCTCAAAATAAAGCTGTTAAAAGAGAAAGCCCTTGCCAGGCATAGTAATGCATGCCTATCATCCTAGCACTCAGGAGGCTTGGGCAGGAGGATCGCTATGAATTTGAGGCAAGTCTGGGTTAAATAGTGAGACCCTATTTTTAAAAAAAGGAAACAAGCACGCCGGGGATTTAGCTCAGTGGTTCCACCACCTCCCTCGCAAGCTCAAGGTCCCAAGTTCAATCCCTGGTACCAAAATAAAAAGGAATCAAGCAAACAGAAAATGAAAGCCTGCTGGACATGGTGTCACATGCATGTAATTCCAGCACTCTTGGAGGCTGAGGCAGGAGGACTGCAAGGCTAGGGGTGCAGCTCAGTGTGAAGGCTCTGGGTTCAATCCCTGGTACCACAAGGGGGAAAAAAAAAGAAGAAAGAGAAAAGAAAGCTGGGCATGATGGTGTACGCCTGTAACTCTTGCAGTCAGGAGGCTGAGGCAGAAGAATCACAAGTTCAAGGCTAGCCTGGGCTATATAGTGAGTTCAAGGTCAGACAGAAAAACAGAGGCAGAGACAGAGAGAGACTGAGAGATTGAGAGGTGAGGGAAGCAAGCAGGCCTGGACTTCTTGGAATCCTGCAAAGGGGCTGTCAGAGCACTAAGTCTGGGCAAGGATGATTCTGGAAAGAATGACAGAAATCTGGCCTGGCACAGGGAATAAGAACACCAATTCTGATCATTCCATATGAGTCAAAATCCCAGCCCCAGCAAGTTTCTAAACTTTAACAGTAAATCTAGTAGTTGCTATTATTCCTTAGAATGTTTTGCTCAGAGCCTTGACTAAGAGGCTCTGAATGGCTGGAAGTGACGGTCCAGGAAGAAGGTGAGGGAGGGAAGCCACAGGCCACTTGGGGCTATGAAGTCACCTACCAAGCTTCACTCTTTTCCTTTTCTCATCAAGTTTCTGGGTCCTCGCTGCTGCCTGCTTCTTGGCTTTCCTGACTTTGTCATACGCGGCCTGGAAGCACAAAGGAACACAGCAGTAGTCAGCCAAAGAAAAAGACACAGCCCCAGCAGTCTCTTGGCCCCTGACTTCCAGCCCAGAGCCACCCAGGAAGCAGGCTAGAGAGTGGGTCTCCAAGGCCTGGACAGCAAGGACTAAGGCCAGAGGATGCAGGCTGAAGGCAGCAGTGGTCTCTGTCCCCAGAGGACAGTCACCTAAAGGAGGAGGCGCTCACCCTGGCTGCAGCATCGGTCAGCACTTCCAAGGCCTGAGACAGCTGGTGGAAGAGTTCAGCTAGGCCGTAAAAAAGAAAGGAGAAAAATAAAGTTAGATATGGTGATGACGTTTTCCCTCAAAAAAGCATTCCAAAGCAGCCACAGGTGGGCGGAAAGGCTGACAATGGCAGCTGCCAGACCAGCAAGGAAGGGCAAGCGTGTCAGCCACTGACTGGGCATCTCCAGCACGTGAGCCCTGGGCCCCACTGGCGGGAGCAGGCCTTGTGCACCTCCCTCCATGGCTCACACATGGAGCTCAGAGCGGAGACACCACAGCGGGAGAGCGGGTCTTTCTTCTCATCCCCTACAGAACCTCACCTGCTCGGGGATTATCTGGATTTTTGTCTGGGTGGCAGGAGAGGGCCTTCTGCCTGTATGCCTTCTTCACCTGGAAGAGTCAGAAGACACTGTCATTCATCCCACTCCAGGGATGAACAGGAAAACCTTGCAAAGGTGACAAGGGAAATCCAATGTCCACCGGAAAGAGTGGCTGCTGACCCCCTCTTCCAAGTCATCATGCAGATTTGCAGGGGAGGAGGCAAGGGCCATGGAGCCAGCCAGCCTCTGACACCCAGCAGGGAAGCTGGACCTGCTTCCTGCAAATACTCAGCCTCATCAATGCTGTCAAACAGCTCCTGGCAGGGGCCAGAGCACAGTATCCTGGTCTCTCTACAGTCACCTGCAAGCAGCTATGCTTTATAATTTTTTCTTTTTTTTTTTTTTTTTTTTTTTGGCAATGAAGGAACCCGGGGCCAATGCAAATCCCAGGCCCCTTTTTTAGTTTTTATTTTGAGACAGAGTCTTGGTAAATTTCCCAGCTGGGGCTTGAACTTGTGATCCTCCTGCCTCAGCCTCTCAGAAAGCTGGGATTACAGTTCTGAGCCACCATATCCAGCTCTCTATTCTGTCTTGGTGAGTATGAAAACTGGGGAAAACTTTCTGGTGGAAAATTTTGCCATCCAATTTTAAAATATACTTTCCCATATGTTGTATGCTTGGAATCCCAGCTACTCAGGAGGCTCCAGTAGGAGGATCACAAATTCAAGGCCAGCCTGGGCAACCTAGCAAGACCACGTTTCAAAATGAAACTTAAAAAGGATCGAGGACTCTATCAGCGGTAGAGTGCCTGCCCAACATGTGCAAGGCCCTGGATTCAATCCCCAGTAACATAAACACACACACACACAAACAAACACACACACACACACAAATTTTCTTTTGACTCAGCCCTAGAAATTTGCACTTAAAATATATACCGAAGTAGGGCTGGGGATTTAGCTCAGTGGTTCCAGTGACTGCCCTGCAAATGCAAGGACACAAGTTTAAGCCCCACTACCAGAAAAAAAACCAAACATATAGATAGATAGATAGATAGATAGATAGATAGATAGATAGATAAGATATACTAAATACACAAGCATGCTCACTCCAATGTTGTTTTCTTGTTTGGTACCGGGGATCAAACTCGGGTCCTTGTGCTTGTGAAGCAGGCGGGGGAACCACGGAGCTAAATTCCTGTCCCTCTCCAATGCTGTTTATACGAGGCACCCACTGAGATCTCCATCAACAAAAACCCATTAGCTGGGAATTTAGCTCAGTGGTCAGCTTCCTGCCTTGCAAGCAGAAGGTCCTGAGTTCAATCCCAGGTATCAAAAAACAAAAACAAAAACCCATTAAAAACATGATACACCAAAGTCTGTGAACTGACTCCAGAAAATCTTTAGGATTATGTGAATTTTTTTTTAAAAGCAAAACTCAAAACTGTATTATAAGATCACTTTTGGGTTTAAAATAGAAAAACAAATGAAACATAATTTCAGATACTTGAGCATGAGCACAGTTTAATTTTTTTTCTCAAGGCAATCATAAGAAATTTAATGGTAACCTCCACTGGAAAGGATGAAGAGGGAGAGCAAGGAAGCATTTATTTCTTTCATACCTTCCTGTTACTTTTCAGATCTTAAAGAGAACTTCTTTTATTATCTTTTTTTTAAATTGTCAACAGGTTTTATCTGAAAAAGTTATGGTCCACTTTTAGTTTTCATTTTTGTATCTCTATATTGAAAAAACCCCTAATATAACTTAAATGAATAAAACAAAAACAGTTACCTTTCATGTACGACCTACCTAGCTAGTGTAATCTGCCTCTGCTTCCTGAGGCCTCTGCCCCACATTTCTGTTCAGACCCCGGGGAGGAATAGCTGGGCACATGGACTTTCTATGTCTCTCAGATGGAAGCAGTGCATAGTTATACGCCCAAATATGCAAAGGAAGCATCTTCAGAGGCAGGCAGCCAGCATCTGCTCAAGGAGGGCCTGCTCACCACCTCCAGAGCCCAGTGGACCAGGGACCTTGCGGGAGTGCTGCCACCTACAGGCCACAGCCAACCCTGCACCTTCACCTGCCGGGACAACTTATGCCCAGTTTGGCTGACTGAGCTCAAGATGACCCGAAAGGCACAGGACAGATATGCCATACCCTGGTGCCCCCCTGGGCACACCTGGCCTGCCAGCTCACCTTCCAGCTCTGTTTTCACTGTTAAGAGTAATAATACGGAGAGATGACAGCTTCTAAACAGTTCACATTTGCAATGTCATCTTTATTCGCATCATTTGTCTTTTATCCTTCTGCTCTCTCTTTTTTTTTTTTTATCAAACAATATTAGGGATTAGACTCTGGGTTCCATATTGAACTATATCCCCAACACCTTCTAAAATTTTGGGACAATAAATAAGTAAATAAAATGTGTGGACAAAAAATAAATAAAATAAAATTTTGGGACGAGCTATTATTGCTCAGGCTGAGCTCAAATTTGTGATTCTCTTGTCTCAGCCTCCTAGAGTGCTAGGAGTGTGTGGCCAAGACCAACTTCACTTTTACTGAGGACTGAATTTCCCTTCTCACATAGCTACATCCCCAACCCCTTTTATTTTTACATTTTTTTGAGACAGGGTCTTACTGTGTAGTTCAGATTGGCCTTGAACTCACTTTGTAGCCCAGGCTGACCTTGAATTCATGGAGATCCTCCTACCTCAGCTTCTGGAGTACTAGGATTATAGGTATGCGTTACCACAACTGGCTCCTTATTTCTTTATTTTCAGACAGGGTCTTACTAAGTAACCCAGGCTATGATTCAACTTGTAATCCTCCTGCTTCAGCCTTAAATCAAACTTTTATTAAACGTTTCTTAAATTTTAACACTTTTTACTTACTTTTTTCAGTAAGTATAACAATACAAAAATATAGAAAGTTTTAAAAAGTGGATATTCCTTTTCACATCTCCCCTTCCCTCTTCAAGGTTCCAAGTTTCACTGGATAGCATGTGTCTTTCCACCCCTCCCTTTCGATCGGCCCAACACATAGAAGTCACTCTGTACACTTACAGGAGGCAGCTTCCTGGTCTCTCCCCCCAGCTCTCTTGAAGCCCCTGTGCCCTATCTCTGAGATGGGTGAGGGGAGGGGCCATCATCTGGGAGGCCTTCTCTCTGGGTCTATGGCCGCTACCTATAGGGCTGCCCTGAGAACGAACCTTCCTAGGCACTAGGATTACAAGGCATGCTCTACTGATACAGGCTGGTTTTGCGGGAAATTTTGTTCTTTGTATCACAGGGCTCTTTTACAGGTTCATGTATCCTTTTTGTAAATCTGAGAGAGACACTAGAAAGGAGAGAGAAGACTGAGAAAGGAAGGGGGCTGGGGGGCTGGGTGGTAGCCCCTCCTTTGCTTTTCTATTGTTTTTTGTTTTTTCTTGGTACCTAGGATCGAACTGAAGTCCTTGCCAGTGCTTGCGCTTGCGAAGCAGGCAGCAGAACCACTGAGCTAAATCCCTGGCCCACTTTTCTATTGTTTTTGAGAGTGTGCTTTAGGAATTTTATCCTAAAGGAATAATATTAAATGTTATTTTGTGTTTTATAATTCACTGTGGATGTTCTGTATCAGAAAATTGGCTTTCACTTAAGGAAACAAAATATGTTCCAACTGAAAAAAAAGAAATAATTATATAACAATAGGAAATTAATTCACATATATTAATTTGCCCCCTTATCAATTGTCTTTCCAGAATGTGTTCCTTTGACAAATGGGTTTAACAGTCTCATAGAGACTTTGAGGCAACCAGCAGAGCCATACCTAGGGAATCCTATTCCAACCTGGGTGAACCCCAACCCACCTCCAGCCTTCAGCCTCTCACACTCCCAATGTTTACAACCAAACACAACTATCTCAATCAGCTTTATGTATTCAGCACCCCTATTCACTTAAGGCCTCACCTACATCTCAGTTTCCAAGCCATCTTTAAAAAGATAAGAGACTGGACATTTTATATTCAATTTCCTCAAAAAAAAAAAAACAAAAACATAAAACAAAAAACCCAAACCAACAACCTGCCAATTTTATGTATTGGCTAGACATTAACAGGGAGAAAGGTGATGTCTAGAGAGCCAGGCCAGCCAGTATTCATTCCAGGGAGGGACATCCAAGGGTAGAAGTTCTCCAAAATCCCCTCAGTGCAGCCCTGAATCTACCCCACTCCTGTGTCCATTGATGAAGCATCTAGATATTCAGGGGCTGAACAGAGCCTGGGGACACAAATAATCAGGAGTGTTCCCTGGCACAGAAGAGGAAGGACACTGCTTGGCAAAGAAGATCCCAGGGAAACAATTACAATACCACATGTGAGAAGCCAGAAGAGTGGTCTATAAGAATGGAAACACAAAGCCCAGGGATTTAGCTCAGTGGTTCTGCCACCTGCCTCATAAGCGCAAGGACCCAATTCTATCCCCGGAACCAAACACACACACACACACACACACACACACACACACACACACACACACAAAGAATAGAAAAACACAAGCTGGACATGGGGACACACACCTGTAATCCCAACACACACACACACACACACACACACACACACACACACACAAAGAATGGAAAAACACAAGCTGGGCATGGTGGCACACACCTGTAATCCCAGCACTCAGGAGGCTGAAGCAGAAGGATCACTTCAAATTGGAGGCCAGCCTGGACTAGGTAGTGATTTCATGGCCAGCCTGAGTTGCATAGTGAGACCCTGTCTCAAAAAACAAAACAAGAATGGAAACATAGAAAAGAGAGCCTAATTTAACTCTGAATGCTTCCAGAGGAGGCAATATTTGAGCTGGGTCTTGGGTCTTAAAAAGTTATTAGTTCTCCAGGCAGACAGCTAGTTAGGTATTCAAAACAGTGTGTAAAAGAACCTGGGCTTCTATTCAGGCCCCAGACCAGGTCAGAGGAAAAACAGAAAAGTTTGTTTTTATGAGGAAAAGGTATTGGGAACAGAAATGGTGAGGAAAAGACAGATGTGGTTGCAACAAAGCATGAAATAAAAGTAATGTTTTTTGGATG